TCACTGCGAGCGTACACAAGGTGCTGGCAGCCTGGAGCCCGCGGCCGGCCGGCCAGCCGCTGGCGCCTTATTTCGCCAGCGCGGCCGCGGCGAGAATGCACGGCGTGGTCGGCGACGACGACGATGATACCTGCGGCAGGCCGACGACGGAGTCGCGACATGAAGGCAGCCTTGAAGGAGCCAGCGGCAAGCGCTGCGGGCCTCGGCCACTTTCAAAGTGCACTTGCGGCCTCGAGCAGCAGGGTGCCACGCCGGTGGACGCGAATCCCACCGTGGACGCACCGCTCGGTCCGCCCTCGCCCGCGAGCCAACTGCCTGGCCGCAAGGCGGGGCTACTCCACACCTTCTACGAGCCCGAGCCTAGTTGCGCGAAACGTGGGCGATACATCGTCAACTTCAAAAGTGGGCTCCCCCTAATACGAGAGCCAAAAGTCGCACAAAACGGGCTCCCTCATGGCAAGTACGAGATCAAGGAGCCCTGGTTCGGGCTCCCCATTGGCTCCACTCCAGGGCTCCCCAAATTTAGCTTCAAATCTATGACGGGCTCTTCATAGTAATATCTGATTGGCCAATTTTACCTAGACTTAAGGCGAGCAACTTCGCGTGATCGATGCGCCACGCTAGAAGATCGAGCTCAAAGATCACCACACTAGAAGATCTCGCGCCGCTCATATGTGTACAGCCGCTCCGAGGCCACCCCAGCGTCGCCGATCGTCCTTCCTTCCCCTCAAGGAGAAGCCCTCTTTCCTGTGCCTTTTCAGGTTAGAACCTGGAGATACTTCAATGACGGCCAATCATCAGCGAGATATTTAACACAGGTGAGGGGGGAGCCCTTAACGAGGGCTCACAGTTCTGGAGGGTTAACCTATTGAACTCAAGAGCCCAGGAGCCCGAGCTCGCGACTTTTTGGGTTCACCCAAGAGCCCAGGAGCCCGGCTCTCCCCAGGGCTCGTAGAAGGTGTGGGCTACAGACAATGACTTACAAAGCCGGCAGACACAAAAAGCCGGCAGACGAAGTCAAGCAAAGCTTAACATAAGCAAACCAGCCAATCAGATCCAATCAAATGACTTCATCTTTGTATACCATCTGGTTTTGTGTACTTTATATGCTTTCGTGTGTACTTTATGCAACACGCCGTGTGTTTTATGACATTTTTACAGATTTGACGGGAGGGAATTTATCGTTGTTTTTATATAGGAGGATGGCATTAAGCATGCCGGCTTTGTAAGTCGTTGTCTGTACACCAGGCACATCGCCGTATTTCACATCGTCCGTCGCCGCCGCCGTCACCTCAGCAGCGCCGCAACCTGGCCGCGGCTGCATCTACCCGGGCCAGCCATCAGTGGCCACCGCGCTGGCAACCCTGCCCGCGAAGTGCATCGGGCCCTATGCGCGCGCGGGCTGAGAGAGACCGTCCCTGCAACATCGAGCCGACGGTCTGCTTGGCGGCGGTGCACCGTCATTCTTATCCGGCCGACGTTGACCACTGGTTCCGACGTCACGACCGATTGCGTGGGGACGCCCGCTTATCAAACGCCCGCGCGCATTCACACCGCTTACATGTAGCTGGTGCTGGTGCTGCTGCAGCAGCAGCCATGGGCCAGCAGCGCATACTACAGTATCACGAGCGCGGCCTTCATGCCGGCCGGAAGCGGAGACCGCGGCATGGCGTTCCACGCCAGCCATTCCGCAGGCCTCGATCCTGGCGTGGCCTCCGGATCGGATATCGTAGTGATGGGCCGCGCGGGCCCGCCCTCGCTGTCTCATATCACCGCAGACTTGTCTGGTCTTGTCTTGAGGCGCCAGCCTCTCTCCGGCAATTGAGGACGAACATGCGCTGCCGGCGACTAAGTCAAGCCGGACAAGCGGACGCAAATGCGTCGCGCGCCGAGTCTGAAGTGTTCGGGCCTCAGCTCACCCACCCGTGTGTCAGGCGGCCGCGATTTTATCGTCCGGCCGCCACGCGCGCGCCCTGTTACGGCCCCGGGCCCAAAGTTTTGGTGGCGCGCTGCTCCGCTGCCGGCGTCGTTGGGCCGAGGTGGTCAAAGACTCATCGAGGTGTTTAACGGTCCGGAGTGCAGTGACGGGGGGAGATTCGCTTCGTGTCCGCTGCAGCCCGGCCGGCCGACACCAGGCAGTCTGCCAGGCTGGGAGGAGGGAAGGCAGTTAGGATACGCAGCGATGCCGGCGCGCGCGCCGCGATTTGCCTGTGTTTGGCCAACTAGGGTCCCGCGCGAGCTTGCCGGCGCCGGCGCGACTAGCTCGGCAACATGTAGCGTGCGGCCAGCAGCGCGGACGGCGCCAAGGTGCGGCCCTCCACGGATTCAAATCTCGCGGGAAGAGGCGCGCGCGCCAATTCGAAGTGTCAAGGGGGGCGTAATGGCGTTGCTGCCGCCGACGGCGCTGGCCACCGCCGCGCTCTCTCGGCGAGACGCATTGCCGCCGGCCAGCGGAGACCGAGCGCGCTGCAACAGCGAACCCGGCTCTGGGCCGTGGACCGCCGCCTTTCGCGGGGTTGCCGGTCGAGCCGCGGCGGTTGTGGCGCGCGGGTCTCTGGACCACACCAACTGACGGCCAGAGACGCTGGAGCAGGATTCGCTGGCCTTTTCTTTTCTTTTCAGGGCCGCCGCTGCTCACTCTTCCGCCTTCATTCGATCATTTGCCGTGGCGCCGACACTGCTCCGAGCCTAGCTAGCGTCCAGCCCAGCCCTCTCTCTTTTATCTCGACCTTCGCCGCCAGCATGGACATCACCGTTCGCGTCGAGGTGCAGTACGTGGTCCCCGAGCACGCGCTCATCCGGGACGTGCTGCAGATGTTCCGCACGCCCGCGTGGGTGCGCTTCATGGTGCGCTACATCTCGCCGCACCTCAAGAACGCCGCGCCCGCGGACAAGTCCGTCATGGACAGCCTGGCCGCCTGGACCGTCGGCCACCACCAGCGCCCGGCCGCGGTCGGCGCCAAGCGCGCGTGCAGCTCTGGCACCAAGCGCCCAATTTCCAGCGTCTCCTCGGCCTCCCCGTGCGCCGACGACTGCGTCATCTGCCTGAGCGAGCTGCAGAGCGGCAACGACGAGTTCGTGGCGCTTCCCTGCGGCCACCAGTTCCACCTGCCGTGCATCCGCTCGTGGCTCAAGCTGCGCAGCACGTGCCCCAGCTGCCGCTTCCAGTTCCGCAAGGCCTTCTCGGGCAGCTACGCCGTGCGCACGCTCAACTCGGCGCTGCTGCTCAAGCAGGAGCACCGGCCGCTGCCCAAGGAGGAGATCCTCAACACGTGCGTGGGCCGCGAGACCGTGCGCGCCGTCGTCAACGTGACGCTCAGCCAGATCGCCGCGCACGCCAAGCAGAGCCAGTACCCGTGCGTGCTCAACGCGCTCATGATGCACTCGAACGGCGACAGCTTCACGGAGGCCGCCGCGCCCGACGCGGCGCTGGCCAAGAGCAGCGGCGACCACGAGCGCGGCGACGACGGCAACAGCGAGCCGCGCGCCAAGCGTCTGCGTGTGGCCTAGATGTACCAGGAGGACTGTAACTTGACTAGGAGACGTATGTAAATTATTGCTAACAAAGAGAAGCTTTTCGCACGGCCGAGATAGAGGCGTGTCCACATTTCGACCCGAGTTCTTTCGGCATCGGCCTTGGAGGGCATCGAACGCGGTCTGTCGCGGGGCCAACCAGCCGTGGCATGGAGACCTCCGAGCCATAGAGGTCACGCCAAGTTGACGTTGGATATGTGACGTGCGCCAACTTGAAGTTTGTATCGACGGAACCTGGCACCAAATTTTTGGTCGGGTTCCAGAATGTGGCCAAATCGTTTACGTCCCGGCCGCTCTATGTTCGGTTCACTTGGGGTTTGTTTGGAGCGGTGGTTTACAGCGGCCAGCGTCGCGCTCGACGCGACGACCAATTGATATGATGCCTGGCTTCGATTACGCGTGTTGGAGGCCCGGGATTACAGTCCCCGGCGCCAACTGCAAGGTGCTCGCGATGGCCCGCACGCGATTTGCGCTCGTCGCGGCGATGAGAGCGACTTGACTTGGCTACACTATGGTCCGTCTGAGGGCGGGCGGGGCCACGTTTCGCGCGCGAATTCGAATTCGAAGCAGGCCGGTCCGCTGGGCTGGCTGGCTGGCCGAGCGAGCGCCCTTGTCGGCCACGGCATCGGAGACCTGGATGCGACACCGGCGAGCGAGCGCGGACTGAGCCGGATCCGTCTTCGCCGGCAAAGTCCCTCGGATGTGCGCGCTTCGGGTTCCCTCCCTCCCGGCGCGGCCTGATTTTCAGCCACCAGGGACACGCTGCCGGCTGGCGCGCCGGCGCCGTGTCGGTCGCGACCAGCCGACGCGCTTGGCGTGTTGTCCGTGTCCGCGTTGACTGCACGGACGCAGGGCTGACCAGAGGGCTTGTCTCTATGCGCGGTCGTTCCCACCCCCGCGCCGCCCCACCGGCCCGGTGGGCCACCGCCGGCGGTCCAACGCTCTCCATCACAGCGGAGACCGTGCCGTCGCCACTCGATCAGTCTTGGGCTCTGCTGCTGCAGGTTGCATGTGTACCGCGGCCTTTTTCACATTCACAGCGCGCGCCACGGCCACGATCACGGCCAGTTAGTCGAGGGCAGCTTGGCGCAGGCACGTCTGCGCGGGCACGTCCCATGATGCAAACAGCGTCGCCTTTGCCTTGGCCGACCAGTCCAGTCCACCATCCGCTGCCAGTGCAGGCACTTGAAGCGAGCCGGGAGCGCGCGCCCCGTCTCGGTGAGCTGCAGTCATCGGCGCGCCCGTTTCTCGCCGAGAGCTCGTCAATACGTGCTGAACACGCGCAAATCGGCTCGGCCGGCTCCGGGCCCTCGGAGCTCAAGCTCTGGCGGCTGCGCGCGCGCTCGACACCGCTGACGAACGCACGAAAGCTCCGGCTGGAGCACGGCAGCCAAGTGCTCGCTGCGGTTGGATGGTCTTTGGGCTGCACAGGCGGCGGGAGCGCTGAGGCGGACACCTGCAGCTGGAGGGTCAGGCAGCGCTGCCGGCGCACGGCCAGCTCGCCCTCCGCCGAGGTGAGTGTACTCGACGCGTCGATGCCCGAAGCCTCGCCGGTGCCCGCGTCGCTGCCGACAGCAGGCAGCAGTTCCTGAGCTTCCACCGGCGGCTGCTGGAAGCTCGACAGTCAAGTTGAAGTGACACGGTACCACCGATATAGACGGCTACAGTGCAGAAAGTTAACATGGTGGACACAACGCGCGTATTTGCTGTAGGCGTCATGTATTCCATCTATCCTAGCCGCTGGCAGCTACACGTACGAGAATTCTGGCAGAGGTAAACAGCGCGCGCGTGGGGGGGGCATCTAGCGCCCGACCAAGCTCCCTAGTCCTGATAAACGCGCGGCTCCTCGTTTATCTGCCACAGCATGAAAGACTTGACGTTGTCATTGAGCCCGTCCAGCGCCAAATTGGTGGGGAAGTCCTTCCCCGTGGTGAACCAGGCCTTGACGATGCCCTTGCAGGATCGCTCCGAGTAGAAGGCGATCTTGGATTTGCCCTCGAACCGGCCAGTCGTGGGCAGATTCTTCCACGTGATCGATGACGGCTTCCCAACGTTATCGTTGTAGCAGGTCTGCCCCATGAAAGCCCGACGAACCTGCACCGCGTTGCCGGCAAAGTTCGCTTTATCCCAGAATACCACCACGCTGTTCTCCGCGTCGGTGCTGTGGGGAAGACTCAACATGACCGCGAACAAGACAACCAAAGCAGGGTCCGAGGCATGGGTGCGAGACAAAGTAAAAGTGAAGAACTTCATCCGTTGCCTGCCGCTCAAGTCGCTCAAGTGCTGCTGGTGTCACTACTGTATAGATTCGTTCTATGGTTATATGGTTACATGGAGCGTTCCAAAACATTATTACAGTACAAGGATTCGATCATCCAAGAAACTTGGTTAGGGACTTGATTTCCGTTGCAGTCAATTATTGTTCTCCCTCCTCTCGCTTGGCTCTTGCCTGTTCTGCACGAACTCGACACCACCCACTTAGACGACGTCGCGGACGATGACGTCGGGCAACCAGCTCGTCTGCAGCAGCATGAAGGACTTGACTTGGTTGTCGATACGGTCCAGTTCCAGGTTTCTGGGGAAGTCCTTCTCGGTGGTGAACCACGCGAGCGCTTTGCCCTTGCAGTCGTGCTTGGTGAAGAAGGCGATCTTGGCTTTGCCGCCGAAGTTGCCAGTCTTAATCTGGTTCCGCCACGTGATGGACGACGGCTTGCCCACGTTGTCGTTGTAGCAGTACTGCGGCTCCAGCGTGCGGTGGAACTGCCACTTCTCACCCTTGAAGTCCTTGTCGCCGTAGAAGGTGAGAATCCCGTCGTACTGCGCGTGCGAGTCGATGCTGGCGATTATGACGGCGGCGAGCGCGACGACGAAGTAAATCAGTTTGGGTAGAATGGGGGTACACATCGGTCGGCACGCTGATGCTAGCTGGCACTCTTCACGGCAAGTTTAAGAATGAGGACTCGGCTCCTGGAAGCCTCTGGTAGTTTAATCATTTGATGTTGTCATTCGGCCACGGTAGACCCCCCCCCCCCAATAATGCTTTCATTGAATTCACCACCCGTAACCACGTCCTACATCTGTGTTCTCGCCAGTTTGCCACAAATTGAGCGAGTTGATTTTGTTCTCGTCGACAACTTCGGGGTAGTCAATTTTTCGTAATGGAATAAAGTCTAACATCAGTCATTTTTGTATATTGAGCTGATCTTCGGATGTTGTAACGCCGCACCGGATGACGTTCGTGATCGCCGCATTATTTTCCAGTGATCGACCATTACGTTTATCAGACCATCGAAAGTTAGCGGAGTTTTACGGAGTTTTGATGAAAGACCTAAGAAGCAGATAGTGTCACAATAGCGTCGTCACGCTATGGGCATGGTAGCACTTGAGCAGAGGATAGTAGTAACTGAAGCACTCAGGCAAGATGCCGTCGACGTTGCAATCAGCACTCGTTGTTCTTGAACAGGTAAATTGAGATCTGATTGAATTAGACGTGCTTCCCCAACTAGTTTTCTTCTAGCTAGCCTACACAACTCACTCAGTAACTCTTCATACAAACATGCAATGTTAACATGCAGGATGGACTCTATCCGCTACTAATTGCCGTGTTCAACTTGATAGCCTTCGCGTTCGAGCTAGGATGAGTAGGATCTGCTAGCAGTCCTTGATGATACCATGACAGATAGTCGCGGCAGCCTCGAACTTGTGAGACGCACGGATGGCCCCAAAAGGCCTACCTGAGGCTGGCTTAAGCCCCTTCGATACGCAGACGGCGTTTGCTTTTCTTGAAGAAGCCTACAAAACGCTCCAGCTTCTTGAAAAGGAAATTGGCAACTCGTACGACTTTTGAATTGGCATTTCCTCGTCGTCCGCCCCGAGTTTGCCCTTCAGCTGCTTGAAATCAGACTCCTTGTACTGCTCGACCTTGCCGAGAGGGACATGCATCTTGTCCGTGACGGCGCCGTCTTCGACATGATAGAGATCAGCGTACAGTCCATCTTGCGTGGTGGTGGCCTTGGAAGCGGTGACAGCAAAGTTGTCGCTGCTAGCGAGCAGAACGACGGCGACAGCTAGCAGGGTCTCGGTCAAACGCATGGTGATAGTTGAGTGTCGTCGGAAGTTGTTGTACTGCTTGGTGCGGTGGAGTGCCAATTCAAAAGTGAAGTCCGCTGTGAGTGGAGACTTCGAGAGTTGACGGAAAGTAAGCTCAGGCAATCGCGGACGCACATCCGAAGCCACACGGACATCGTATCAACGGATACGATGCGCACATGTCTTGACCATAATACCCTTTGCCGACCAAAATGTTAACCTTTATCACCCCGCGAAGGGACTGAGTACATAATGATGAGTACTCCAGCAATTGTCAACGGTGAGGGCAGCTTGGATAAACAGCAAATTGCGTTGTAGCTCATTATGTGTCATGCTACCGAGCTACAGCCTCCATGGGGTGGCTTACTACCAACTGATCCCAAGTTAGTGCTGGAGTAGACGTTGCTTTTCACTTTCAAGCTTGGCGAGAGCTTGGGTGGCGTATCCTTGCGAGTCGTTGGTAGGCGAGACGCACGTCGGCCAGCAGCCGCAAGTCACGCAAAAGTCCTGTTTCGGATGCGAAAGCTCGAAGCCGCACCCGGGACAAAACACGTTCGGACTTTCCGCTGACTCCTCCAGTCCGTGCGCTTCCACCTCCCGTTTGGCCTCGTTGAACCTTCGGCGCGGTACATTTACCAGATCCCCATTGAAAGCGCTCAAGAACGCCTGGAAGAAGTACAGATGCTCTCGGTCGCGGATGTACACGCCGTGCTCTCGGAAGACGGCGCGCTGCTGCTCGGCGAACTCTTCATCCGTCCAATGCGAATCGAAGTACCCGAGCCGCAGTCGCGTCGTGCCGGACCCGGCCTCGATGGGCTCCTTGGCTCGCCACTGGGAGAAACTCTCGGGGAACGCCTGACGCAGAATCAGCTTACCATGTACTCCTTGCTCCCCGTCACGCGGCACGGGCGTGCGTTCGCCGACCATGTCGCTCTTGTTCAGAGTTTTGGAGAAGGCCACCACCCGAGCGTCGAGGTATGGACTGATCACCTCAATTCCGAGCTCTCTCGCGAGTTTGGCCGTAGTGAACTGCATCGTGGCAGTGATTCGCTCGCGGTACTTGTCTAAAGCCTCCTCAGTCATGCCATGGTAGAACGAGTAGCCACAGAATACCTCGTCCGCTGCATCACCAGTCACGAGGTGCTTGACACCGCGCTCTGACGCCTCTCGTAGCGCTTCGTAGATGACCAACGAGTTGCGTAGCTCCATCGGGTCGCACGTGCACAATAGACGCGCTACTTCCGAGGAGTTCTCCAGTAGAGCGTCCAAAGTCACGCGGAGGATGTGATGCTGCTCGATCGACACGTTCTCGAGGCGCTTGAAGATGTTGGCGGCGAAAACGGCGTCTTGGGCGGTTGGATCCGCTTGGACGGTCAGCGCGTGGCGAAAGCGTAGGATCGGACGCGCCTTGGCCGTCTTGTCGAGCGAGATGGCCATGAACTCGTCGTTATTGCTATCAGCAGCAAAGTCTTGGTCGCTCGCCTCGGACAGTATGGAGGTATCCAGTCCTGCACTGAGCAAGATGGCATCGATACCGTCTGGGAACCGATCGCGGATTTCGTGAAGCACTTGCTGCAGCAAGCGACGACACTCCACAATCTTCGCAGACGGCGGAGCGCGAACGTAGTCCAGGCAGAGATTCTCTCGGCGAGCCAGCACAGTGCGCTGGAGAATGCGTACATCCTTCGTGTAGTGATACAGGGTCTGCTCGGACGAGTACATTTGCGGGTGGTTGGGAGCTAGCGACAAGCGTGGCAGTGCCCAGGCACGCCACGCATCCGGCGGAATGCGCCCATTTCTTGGCGTAGCAGCGCTCTGAGCGAACGCCTTTTCCATCTGAGCAGTGAGAAGCTTGTGGAGCTTATCGTCATGCGAGCATTCGTCCGGTTGCGGCACTACACTCGCTTCTCCACGGACCAACGGGCCAGCTTGGTCCTTCTTTTGCCCTTCGTGGTCGTCTACAGCATCGACGCCTTCAACTCCCAGCACCACCGCACAGCGGAACGCCATCCACGGACCCAACACTGGATGCAGACAGAGTTGCGACGGCTACACTCAAATCAATCAACCAGCACGATCAGAGCCACCCCCACCGAGACAAAATCTGAAGCTCTGTAAATGCAACGCACAGGACAGTGCGAGACAGCCCGAGCTGCCAGCGCTACCTTCTGCGCCAGGATCATCTTGCCCGGCTCCGTGTCCGCCACCCAGTACACCTATAATACGCAACATGTTAGAGACCTCACTTCAACTTCCGTTGCTGCACGGCACCTTTGCGTCTTCGAAAGCTTTATAGGTGACACCCAGCTCTTCCAGCGAGGAGGTGACCGTTTGCTTGACGTATCGGTCCACCGGGTCGTCCTGTACGCGGCCGTCGTTCTGCTGCATTTCAAGCTCCAGGAAGTCTAGGAACGGGTTCCACAGAGCCTTCGAGTTGCCCACCAGCACCAATAAATGGGACGATTGAGCTCCATTTGGGCTGCTGGGGACTGGCAACTTAAACCGCGTCAGTGGGGACGCCGCCTCTGCGGAATGGTCCTCCAGATAGCGGTTGTAGCACTCCACGGACGAGGGGATCAGCACGTCTAGTCCCCTGACAAACAATCACAGTGGCGTTTAGGAGAGATGGGTTCTAATGGCGCCGAGCAATTAGCACAATACCGACGTACTTGGCCGCGAGCGCCGCGTGCAGCAGCGCACACACGCCCCTCTGCTCGAGCATGATCTTGTGGCTGGAATCGGAAATAGGCGCACGCGACGCTTGTACACATGTAGCCATCTATCATACCGGAAGTCTTTTTGCCAAAATGTGTTCTTGCCGACCCAGCCTGCATGAGCATTACTGGGCAAGCCAAATTGCCTCCCAACCGTGATGAGGAGGCCTTACTATCTTGGCCCCGACGGCTGAAGCGAATGCTATTGACCGTCCGCCACTCACACCCAGGGCGCAGGCCCTCAATGCACAAGGGACCCAGACGCTGAGCGACGAAAAGCCGGAGTCCATTACCGCTGTCGACAAACTAAAAAAAGGAGACGTCGAACATAGTGAGCAATGCTCACTGAGCATGCACAGTGACGCCGGAAACCAAACGCCGCTGAAAGCACACGCGCAGCGTGACAAAAAGCTGGTGGCTCATGCGTCCTTCACGCATGATTGTCACGAACTCCATATCGCTTTGCCGGCGCGCTGGCGCACCACCGCACCATCAGCCAGCGAGCTCCATTTCGAGGTGACACCGCCGACGTTTCTGAAGTTTTTGACACGCTGCTTCGAATCGGTTTGATTGGTCGCGACCTGGCCCTTCTCGAGCACATCGACTAACCGAATTTAGATCCTATATCCTGCTATACGCGATCGTAGCGAATATCCAAGGGTAATTTTAAACTGCTTAAAATAGTCAGAACTGCAAATTCCGATTCACCGCATAACAACATTATTAAACGAAGCATATATTAAAGTATACAAAAATCTCTGCGGTGCAACTACAACTTCAGATTTGAAGTGACTGATAAATGATGAGTAGCGATCGGCTGCATGGAGCCGATCGCTTCCTTCCCTCCGTGAGCTCATTTCGCAACTCGCAGCCTCCCGCCCAAGATGACCAGCAGCCAGATCCAGATCCCCGTCGTCTCCATCATCCCCGGCATCGGCGACGCCGTGCGCCAGCAGCTCTCGTCGCCGGCGGCCGCTTCGACCTCCGCGGGGAAGCTCTTCCAGGCGTCCCAGCTGGAGATCGTCGACCTGCCGCTGCCCGTGGTGTGCCCTCCGAGCGCCAGCAATAACCACCAGCCCAAGGGCGCAGTGGGCGCACCCGCCCCGACCACGCCCGAGTGGAAGCTCGACCCCAAGCAGCAGCGGATCCTCGAGGACGCCGAGGTGCTCTTCATGGACGCCCACATGGCCGCGCCGCTGCTGCTCGCCCCCAAGACGAACCTGCCCTTCGAGCTGCAGCACCTGCTCAAGAAGGTGCAGTGGGTGCAGGGCACCTACGCCGGCGTGGACTCGTACCACCAGTTCCCGGAAGCCCCGGCCGACCCGGACTTCACGGTCACTCGCGCTGGCGGGATCATGCCCACGGCGTTGGCGCAGTTCGTGTTCGGCTACGTGATTGCCATCGAGCGCAAGCTGTTCAAGGCCAAGGAGTTCCAGGAGAAACGCGAGTTCGCGCGCTGGGAGCTCAAGTACCGTTCGTTCCGGCAACTGACGGTCGGCATCCTCGGCCTCGGTGACGTTGGCCAGGAGATTGGGCGCACGCTTAAAGCTTCTGGGTTCCAGGTGGTCGGGTTCAAGCGCCGTGTGAGTGATGAGGACAGGAAGGCGTTGGCCTCGAGTCCCGACCGCGTGTCGAATAACCTGAGTGAAGTGCTGGAGCAGAGCGACTACATTGTGAACGTTCTGCCCAGCACGGACGCGACCCGCTACCTGCTGACTGAGAACACGCTCGAGGTGTGCCGCAAGAAGCAGCCTGTGTTCATCAATGTCGGCCGCGGCGATGTGATCTCGGAGGAGACGATCGTGAACGCGCTGGAGAAGGGACTGCTGTCGAAGGCGGTGCTGGACGTGTTCGAGAAGGAGCCGCTGCCGAAGGACAGCCCGCTGTGGACCCACCCAAAGGTAATCGTGACGCCGCACATCGCTGGCACGGTGTTCCCGGAGGACGTGGCCGACGTCTTTGTGAAGAACCTCAATCGCCGCCTTGAGAAGAAGCCAGTCTTGTACCAAATGGACTGGTCGAGCGGCTACTAGGCTGCTTCGACGTAGGCAGCATCCTCAGCTTTGTGTATTCGTAAAAAAAAATCGATATGAACCTGAACAAACGGGAGCGTGAGGCACTGTAGAACAATCATGACATTCAGAGTTTTCGGTTTGGAGACACACAGTGTCCACGACTACCAAGACGGCACAAATTGCAGGAAGACGGAAGCCGTCCTACGCTCATTCGATACGCAGACGACGGTTGCCCCTCCGAAAGAAGCCAAAAAAGCGGTCAAGACCCTTGAAAAGCGAGTCAAAGCCCTTGGGGACACGAACTGCAGCTCGCTCCTCCTCGTCGTTCGCCCCGAGTTTTTTAGTCAGCTGCTTGAAGTCGGTGTCTTCATACTGCTCGATCTCGCCGAGAGGGATGCGCATTTTGCCAGTGACAACGCCGTCTTCGACGCGGTAGAGATCGGCGTAGACTCCATCTTTTTTAACGGTGGCCTTGGAAGCAGTCGCTGTCAGGTTGTCGGTGCTAGCGAGCAGAACGACGGCAGCAGCGAGCAGAGTCCCGGTCAAACGCATCTTGGTCAGGAGTTGAATACAGCTGAAGGTTCTGCTATTGCTTGGGGTGGAGGAGCGCCAATTTGAATGTGAGGTCCGTGGAGGGACCTACAGGTCTGTCCAGGAAATCGCGGGCACACATCGAAAGACACATCAACCTACGAGCGGAAGCTTATCGATGAATATCCGGTGGGATGACGCTTGTGTGTAATTCGTCTCCCGATCGTAAGCATTCTGCAAGGATGGACCAAAACAGCTTTCTGCTGCTTTACCGGCATCCAAACGGACGAGCGGTCGTGCGGGATCCCAAGCAGGATGAGATCGACTTACATATTATTACATACAGTTCGTGTCCAACATGTTCTAAACATGTACAATGTTTCGCCCCTAGCCAATTATCCTCTTGAACGTGTAGCGCTTAGCAGTTACTTGTTTGACGTTTTTCTACATGTAGATGGAAATGCAGGTTGGTGCGGATACGTATTGGTACAACACGCTCAGTAGCGAAAAAACAAACACTGCTTAGATATACAGTCCGACGCATGCTCAACGCGATGATTCCTTGTGCTTATTACAGTGATCTTATGGCATTGCCTTCACCGTAATCAGGTCTTGCACATCCGTGATTAATTGCACGTGATCTCGCACTAGCCGAGCGCCGCCGCTCCGCGGCGGGGATTTTTAGTTAGTTGGCGCTTCGCTCGCTATGCTCGCTCCGCTACTGGAGCAGGCTGCCTACGCTTCACTACGGCAGTGGCGGACCCGTTCCGCTCGCCTCGTCGGTTCGCTGCACTACTCTCAATGTCAGGATAGTACTACAGAGGCTGGGGCGGGTCCTGCGGCCCCGTAATATCGTGCCTTCGCTGCGCTCGGCAGCTACTCGTACTTAGTAGGATCCGTACTTAGTGAATAAGCGTGGACGGACGGACAGCGCGTCTTTCTGATTGATTCTTTAGATAGATAAGGGATCACAGGCTGTGAGTACCAGCGCCGGTGTTGTACAGTGTACGAATCTACTATTTACAATTTATTTGCATGCGGTCTGTATTTCGAGCAATTTGCAAGGATTCGCCATCGTTCTGAATATCGACGACCGCGTGCTTGCGGGGCAGAGGAAGGTCACATCTTGGATCGCGTAAGCTCGTAGGCAGTTGCACCTTTGCGTTCTCCTTTTTTGGAGGTTATTATATCCTTCGCTTTGCTGGTTGGCTCCTCAATACCGATCAAGGTCGATATTCGCGTCGATACGTGGTCGCCCAGGTACAGTAGAGCCACACACGCTACAGATCATTACGATAAGCCAGCACGGGATACTTTTTTAGCACCAATACTTGCGTGAACGTTGCTGCCACCATCATCTAACGTCGTCTTCCGTCTCTAGGAACCCGTCGTTCATGAGTTTGTTGTGACGCGCCTCCAAAATGCCTTCGAGCTGCACCAACGTTTCGTACGAGTGCGACCGTACAAGCTCCGTCACGCCAGCACCGCCACTTTTAGCTGAGTCGAGTTGCAGACGCGCAACTTCCGACGCTGGCACAACCTCAGCCTGGGCAGTCCAAAACAAAATACACGCCACACTTCAGCGCCAAGTACTAGCTTATCACGAACAAGTACGCCTCTCACCTCTTCCGACCCGTGGTTGTCGCCTTCCGCGGCGTAGCGCGCCTTCACGCGAAGTTCCCTGTCCTCACCGCTGACCAGCAGCTCCTGCTTCCTCTGTAGACACAAACGAATAGACACATTATCAGCTCCCCACAGCCTCCTCCCCAACGCCCTATAACTACCAGCAGCACCCCCACATCTTCCAGCACGCGGATCAAGAAGTCCACCGTCTCCGCCGTCATCTTCGCCACCTCCCCGAACGCCCCGAGGTGGATCCCGCCGCCATTCTCCGCAGCATTGTGGCCCTCACCTGTCTCCGTCTGCGTGGACTGCGTTGTCCGCGACTGCACCGCCGTGTGCCTGGCAGCTCTCTGTACCGAAGTGCGCAACGGCGTCGCTGCCGCAGCGCTAGCGGACGCTGCTGGTCTCTGGCTGAGTGGGAAGGACGGACTCGCGCGCACCGCCGCGTGCAAGTTGCTGGGGCGGGAGCGCACGCGCGCGGCACTGGGCGACGCCCACATGGCGGCGGGCGGCTCGGAGGCGCTGGATCCGCTCGTGTAGTGGAGCGCGAGGTCTGCGCGGCTGCGCTGAGGCGACGGGGCCGGCGACGGCCGCAGCAGCGAGCGCGCCGCCTCCATCCTGACAGTGAACAGAATGTCAGTCAGCAGCTATTGAAGCGGGACAGCAGCGTCAGCAACGCACCGCCCGCTGCGCTCGCGCGTCCACGCCGGCGCCGCCATGATGTTGCAGTGCGAGCGTCTAGCGTTGCAAGTTGAAGACATATGACCCCCCTCAAGAGGCAACAGTATGGTGTATGTGGTGCACACCAATAATCACCGCCCACTATTGAGGCGGCTTCCTCGGCCAGCCAGCCAGTCAACGAGCGCGTCAGTCTCATCTACGACGCGACCTGGGGCGTTCTCAGCCTCTCGTGCAGAGCCACTAGGTCTTCCGCAGCTTCTCGTCGCGGCCGGAGCTCCTCGCTTGGATCTTCGTCTCGGCCGTCGTCGCGCGCGTCGTTTGCAGCAGGTTGCACCCCCGAACTCCCTCTGTGGGCCCCGCAATCCCATTGCAATGCTTCGAGCCCGCCGCCTCGTGACCCTTTGGCAGCGCGCGCAGCCGCCGGCGGACGCAAGTCTGCAGCGCCTGAGCCTGCGCCTGGCGCGCGTGGACGCCGCGCCCGCCGCCTCCGTGCTCGCGCAGCAGCAGCGACGCTGGCTGACCACTGAGAAGTCCGCGTTCGAGACCGACGAGGCCATGGCCAAGGTGCTGGAGGAGCTGGACACGTTCCGCGATAACGGCAAGTGGCGCCAGGCGCTCAAGCTGCTGGACCGCGTGGACAAGGACGCGGAGCTGCCGTCTCTGGACTCCGCCATGTACGAGCGCGCCATCGCCGCCTGCGCGCGCATGGGCAAGGTGGAGGTGCTGCCCGGTCTGCTTAACAACATGCTGGTGGACGACCTGACGCCCACGAGCGCCACCATGGACTTCATCATCCAGGCCTACCTGGCCAAGGAGCACTGGGGGCTCATCGTGCAGCTGGCCACCGAGTCCACCGCCATGGGCGTGCAGCTGTCGCCCGCCGCCTTCCACGCCATCATGGAGGCCTGTGGACAGGTCAAGGACGCCGACAGCGCGCTCAGCATCATGAAGCAGCTCAGCGGCGCCGGCATGCAGATGACCACCGACCACTACGCAGCGGCCATTCGCGCGGCCGGCATGGCCCGCCGACCGGATACGGCCATGGCGCTGTTCGTGCAGATGGAGGAGCACGAGAAACTACCGGACGACGGACAGGCCTTCAGCCAGCTCATCCGAGCTCAAGTTATCAACGGCGAACTGGAGCGGGCGCTGCAAAGCTTCGCCACCGTCACGCAGCGTGGCTTGTCGCTGGATGAGCCCATCTACACGTGCACGATCGATGCCCTCGTGACGCACGGCAAGCACTGGCAGGCGACGCGTCTCTTTGAGCAGATGCTGGAGAGCGGCGAGAAACACCCGAGCATCTTTTGTCTGGGCCGCGCCATGTTGGCCTACACGGGCGCGAACCGCAGCCAGCACGCGTGGGCTTGCTGGAACAAGATCGTGGAGATGGACGAGGCTAACCCGGTCCCCATGAAGTACAACAAGATGCTGCAGGGACTGACGCACGCCAAGGACACTCATCTCGCTGTGGAGGTTTTCGATCACATCCGGAAGCTGTTTGATCCCAGCAAGATCCACCAGGGAGCATACACGACTGCTATTCGCGCGCACGGACGTTTGGGCAACACTCAGCGAGCTGTTGATTTGTTTGATGAGTACGTGGAGAGCTGCAAGGATACCAGGAGGGTATCTCGCTATGTTGGCATCTACCTGGCGCTGTTCAACGCGCTCTCGCGTGACACTGTGCGTGATCCGGCACTCAACACGCGTGACGCCAAGCGCGCGTGGCAAATTATGTCCACCAACGTGCCAGTCGTTCTGCCGCCTGCATACGCTAGTCTTGCGGGTGTCTTTGCAAGTACTGGCGAAATGGAAACGCTCGAGGAGCTGATTGCGCACGCTGAGAGAAGCTGGGGCGTTACGGCCGAGGAGATGCAGCAGCAGCAGCAGCAGCAGGAGGATCTTGTTGATGAAGATGGTGATGAGTTGGAGGCGGTTGCTGTTTTCGAGGGCGATGAAGTGGAAGTTGGCAGCAGCAACGATGTACTGCTGTTTAACGGCGTGATCAGCGGCCTGTGCAAGGCTCGTGACGACCAAACGGAGAACATCGAGGCGTACTTGGAGATGATGCGTTCGCGGGGCCTTCCTATCACGGATTCGATCGTGCGCGCGACGACGGATGCATGCGTCCGCTTTGAGAATTGGACTCTGATGCGCAAGCTGATGCGGATGGTGGATGTGGACGCGCTAAAGAATGCCGAGTTATGTACTGGCGACACCGTGTCGAAGATACTTGAAGCCGGCCATTGGGCATTGGGCCGTGAGTGGCTTATGTTCTGTCATCGCCATGGACTGCACCCCCCTGTGCGCCGAAAAATGGAGCTACTGCACGAAATGTCGGAAAAGAAGAGCAAGGAGTGGAGAATTGCATATTCGCTGGCGACTGAGACGATGTCGTTCCGTCGCCTAGTGCAGAACAACGTGGATAGCGTCGCCGATGCCTCAGACGTGTGCATGAATGCTGACCGCTTGGACTTGGCTATTAAGCTCTTTGACTCAGTAGCGGGTCATTCGTCGCTGCGTTACTTCCGCAACCACCAGCGCCAAATGAACGTCGACCAAGACGCGACGCGGACCTTGAAATCCAACGTGGAGCCGCTGGTGATCCCGCTTCGGATGTACAAGAACGCCATTCTCTCGCTGTTGCGGCAGCCTAAACCCGAAAACGACGACGTGGATGACAGCTGGCGCATGGTCAAGGCCGAACGGATCTGCAGACAAATGCTGCAGGTGCATGGCAAGAACCTGGATGGCGACGCTCTCTCCATGGCCATCTCGATCAAGGCCACTGCGGGTGACCACGACGATGTCGGAGCGCTGTACGAGTCGATGCGCGCGCTGGGACTGAAGCCCAACTCGTATGCGCAAAACGCAGCAATTGTTGCGTTTTCGCGTCAGCGTCGCACGGACCAAGTGCTCGCTATCCGCGACGATTTAATGGCTACGCGTGATGAGAACGGAAAGATCGCGCGTGTTGAGTCGAATGTGGCCAGGTCCTTGATGCTGTCGCTTGCTCTGGCTCACGAGAACGAAGCTCTTCGCGATGCTGCGATGAACCTGCCCGGATGCACCATGGACATGGCGTTGGACGCGTTGGTGAGCACGAATCGGGCCACGGATGCTGTAGAGCTTTTCGACGAAACCACGCGCGCGGACGTGTTCGAGTCTCTGTTCCACGAACTCTGCAAGTCGGGCAACCCTGTGTATGGAGCTGCGCTGTTGCTCAAGTACGGGCGGCTGCACGGCCTGTCCGAGGTGCACCCCAACCGCGTTATCCGCGTCACCAACGCGCTCGTCGAGAAGGGAGACCTCATCGAGGCCGAGAAGCTGCTGCAGATGTACTTGGACGGAACCCATGGCGTCTCTCTGAAGCAGACACCGCCGTACTTCCAGCAACATGCCATGGAGATGCTGCTTTTCATTTATGGAGAGTTCGGCCACTTCGATGCTATGCGTGATCTGTTTGAGAAGGAGCTGCTGGCGTTCCCGCTTGAGGTCGCGCACTACGAGGCAGCGATGGAGTACTGCGCCCAGTCGCGCGACGAGCTCGCTGGTGCTGTGGCCAGCCTGAAGCTGTTCGAGATGCTTCGCACGCATGGTTTCATCCGGCCAAGCGGCTACACCTACCTGCTGACCCTGCAGAGTTGCCTGCGCCTGGAGAGGCTTGAACCGTCGAACGCCACTGCGGTGAAGTCGACTGGCCAGATCATCCTCGACGACGTGCAGGAGCACGGTTTCCAGGCAGCTGTCGCTGGAGAGCTGGCCAAGCAGGTCGCGTCTACGCTCAAGCAAGTGGCGCGCAAGGAGAAGAAGGTGATTCGTCGTATCGGCAAGTCGGGAGACTCGGATCGATCGTCCGAGGCCGGCATCATGAGCCCGGTGGAACTGGCGCGCATTGCGCTCTTCTGCCACCGCCACGGCATGCCGATCACGGCGGATCTGGCGGGCAAACTGCTCAAGCTGCACCAGCACCTGCCGGCCATGATCTCGAACGAGTTGGCCTTCGTCAAGCGCTCTCTCGAGGAGGGACTGGGTGTCGTGGCCGCTCCTGGCTCGCGGGTCGACAGCATTCCCACGCGCGTCATGAAGGCGAAGAAGAAGGCTGCCGCCCCAAAACCCAAGGCCAAGCGCGCGGCCAACCTATTTGGATCGAATCCTGGCCAGAGACGTCCCCGCAGCAAGAGCTACGAGGCGGCTGTGCGCGCCGCCACGGACGCGCGGTGGGGTGTTGTGCTCGAGCCGCTCGCGACGGACAAGGAGTAGAGCACTAGAACAATCCAGGTAGTCACTGCCTATATGTATTTACGCACCTAGACAGCTAGAAGGCCTAAGCAGCCCAATAAATCATTCGGACATTCGCAATCGCCGCACAGTATCTGCAGCCTTCACTCAGCCAGCTTCTGCAATTGCTTGGAAATTAGCTGGGCGATCCACGGCGATGCGAGTTGAGTCGCCCCCCACTCGCTCGGAATAAGAGCTAAGTTGATCCGACCTGCTCATTTCACTGATCATATCTTGAATCTCCCTGCGAACAACCGCCCGCAACTCTGCCAGGGTCGAGACAAAGACAAAGACTCGCCACTTCACCAAACTCCGTGAACCGCTGTAGTATTTCATCATCGCTGAGGGGGAGGCCGAGTACCCGAGATGCATCTGAAAGGTCCTCGAGCGTCCAGAGCGGCAGGTGATAGTCATGCTGGTAATTCGGCCCCACCTCGCGTCTGGGCTCGTGAACACAACCATTTGGACACGAGTCACGTCGGGCGCGCCGTCGCACAAGTACAGTTCGCCGACGCTGCTTCGTCCTCGATTCTGAAAAACTCCAAAAGCGAGTTGAGCTCCTCTTTCACGTTGCCGCCCTTGAAGACAAGAGCCTTGCCATGCATCACCGCCAAGGCAGTGTCATTACTTTGCGTACCTGAAGAAGTGGGGAGAGGCTGCATATATCTTTAGATACTCGAGTGTGCAGTCGTTGCCTCTTTGACGAGTTGTTCGGTGGCAGACCACATTCATTGTTTTAGCGGCGGTCTGCCCAAAAGAGCGAAAACGCGCAAATGATTTCAGCTATGATACATTACTTTGCTGCTGCCACTCTCCCACTGCGAGAGATATTGATAACCCAACTATGGCTGCCCTTAGGGGTTGTCCTAAAAACTTCAACTACTTGACCTTGATGAAGCCATCTCAACATCTTCGCACTTAAGAGAAAGCATGCACAGCAGAGCAGAGTTGAGACGTGGAAGTTCACTCTCTGAAGCAGCTCCCCCACCGCACATTCAGAATACTTTCGTCCATGCCAGCACTGCGAGTCCCCATTGTGTCATTCATCCGTGGGGTGGGCAACACGGTGCGCAAGGAGTTCGCTTCGTTCGCATCCCCCGCAGGAATACTTTTCCGATCGGGGGGGGGGGGGTCTGCAATTCGAGGATGTTCCGCTTCCGCAACTTCCAGGCAACAAGCAGAGTGTCGGGTACAGCGACCACCAGAGCGAAGGTCTGCTCGAACCGCGCTGGGACTTGACGGCCGAGCAGCACAAGGTCGTGGAAGAGACCCAGGTCGTTGTCATGGACTCGCACACTGGGTATTCCTCGACCCGGACACGAATTTGCCTGACGACAAGCGCCACATCCTCGACAACGTGAAATGGGTGCAGGGCACCTTCGCCGGCGTCGAAATGTACCTCAATTTGCTGCCAAAGGGGGAGAGCGGACCGAAAGCTGACCAACTCCCCAAGTTCCAAGTGACTAGTGGCGGGGTCATGCCGACGATCATGGCGCAGTGCGTCTTCGGGTACGTGACGCTGATCGCGCGCATGCTGCAGGAGGCCAAGGAGTTCCAGAACAAGCGCGAGTTCGCGCGCATGGAGCTCGTGAGCTACCGTTCGGCCTCATCCGTGACGGTGGGGATCCTCGGATTGGGTAATATCGGTCAAGGGGTGGGCAAGATGCTGCGTGGCGCCGGGTACAAGGTGCTGGGCTTCAAGCGCCACACGAGTCCGGTCGAAGCAGCCAACCTCGCGTTCTGCGCCGACCGCATCACGACAGACTTAGACGACGTTTTGGCCAACAGATACTTGCTGATCGAGAAGAATCTGCAGCAGTGTCGCGAACGCAGCCCCGTGTTCATCAACATTGGCCGGGGAGACGCCATATCGGAAAAGACGCTGGTCGATGCTTTAGATGCCGGCATCTTGTCTCGGGCGGTGCTGGCTGTGTTCGAACAAGAGCCGCTCCCGCGCGTTAGCGCCCTCTGGTCGCACCCGTCGGTGCATCTCACGCCCCACGTGTCCGGCAAGGTGTTCCCGGAAAACGTCGGGCCGGTCTTGCTGGCCAACTTTAACCACTACCTTCGCGGCGAACCTTTGGAGTTCGCGGTCGACTGGACGAAAGGATACTGAGCTTCTATCATTACAAGAAAAGTGAGTTTTGCTGCAGTGCTTTCTTCATCTCTTTCTACGTGGTGGCCCGCCTAATCAATACCCCGCAGTCCAATCGACCTTGTACAGCACGGGTTCTCCACGCAGGTAGCGATTGAAGTTGTCCACGAACATACTGGCCACGTCCTCCACGAACACGTACCCTGACACGTGCGGGGTCAGAAGCACCGACGGATGCGCCCACAACGCGCTTTCGTTCGGGAGCGGCTCCTCCTCGAACACGTCCAGCACGGCACGAGACCACACGTCGCTGTCTAGAGCGTTAATAATGGTCTTCTCTGCGATCACATCACCGCGTCCAATGTTAATGAAGACCGGCTTGCGTTCTCGGCACAGCTCGAGATTCTTTTCGTTCAGCAAGTAGCGCGTCGAGCTCGTACTTGGCAGCACGTTCACGAGATAATCACTCTTGGACAGCACTTCCTCCAGGTCGGGAGTGACGCGATCGGCACAGGAAGCCAGCTCCAGCTCCAGCTCGGGTCCGATGCGGCGCTTGAAGCCCAGCACCTTGTACCCGGCCCCACGCAGCATCTTGCCCACCCCCTGGCCGATATCCCCCAGCCCAAGAATCCCCACGGTCACCGTCTGCGCCGGCCGGAATTGGATCATTCGCTCTCGTGCGTAGTCGCGGTTGCTCTGGAAGTCCCGAGCCTCCAGCAGCATCCGCTCCAGCATGGTCACGTACCCGAAGACGTACTGCGCCATGATGCGCGGCAGGAACCCTCCGGCCCGAGTCAACGTGAACTTTGGCAGTTGGTCAGCCGGCAGCGCATTCTTGCCGTGGGGCAGTCGGTTCAGGTACTGCTCCACGCCGGCGTACGTGCCTTGCACCCACTCGATGTTGCGCAGGATGTCGCGCTTGTCCTGGGGTAGGCTCTGCTCGGGCGTGAGGAAGAGCGGCCCGCCGGAATGCTGGTCCATGACCACGATCTTGGCCTGCTCGATGACGCGCTGCTGCTCGGTGGTAATGTCCCAGCTAGGGGCCCCCGTGTCGTCCATGCGGTGGCCGTTGAGTGGGTCCTGCGTGTTGCCCACGAGCTTGGGCACGGGCACGTCCACGAGCTCGAGCTTCCCAGACCGAAAGAGGTCGCCGGCGGGCGACGACGAGGCCGCGAAGTCCTTGCGCATGGCAGAGCCCATCCCATTGAGGAACGACACGACGGGGACGCGCAGCTTGGACAGCGCCGGCATGAGTGTACAGCGGTGGACGCTTCGCACTTGACACGTGGGGCGGTGATGAGATATCTCTTCGGAGACTATGCCCAGCCTCTCATCAAAACATCGTGATTGGTTGGCGCCATCATTTCGGCACGATAAGACTTGATTTGAGTATTGTTTGACGGTGTAGCCATGTCGAATCCCCTACACCTAAGCAGGTCGAAGTGCTGCGAGGAGCTCAGCTCACTTTCGATCTTGACCCGAGACCTCGGACACCCTCGCCCAAGCGCCATGACCGCCTTCACGACCTCTGCCAATGGAGATTCTGTCACCTCTGCGTCGCCACTGCGCGTGCCGATCATGACCTTCATTGCGGGCATTGGCGACAACGTGCGCAAGGAGTTCGCGGCCTCCGACTCGCCAGCAGGTGAACTCTACCGCTCTGGGAAGCTCGAGCTCATCGACATCCCGCTGCCGCAGCTCGTGGGCAACAAGCAGGACCCGCTGCACGGCCCCAGCATGGAGGACCCGGGCCGCCCCATCTGGAACCTCTCGCCGGAGCAGCAGCGCATCGTCGAGCAGGCGACCATCGTCATGATCGACTCGCACGGCGGAGGCCCCGTCTTCCTGGCCCCCAAGGAGAACCTGCCCGAGGACAAGCAGCACATCCTGAGCAACGTCAAGTGGGTGCAGGCCACCTACGCCGGCGTCGAGATGTACCTGAACCTGTTGCCCAAGGGCCCCAACGCCCTCACGGCCGATCAGCTGCCCAAGTTCACGCTCACTCGCGCCGGCGGCATGATGCCGCGCATCATGGCCCAGTACGTGTTGGGCTACCTCACTATGATTGAGCGCAAGCTGCTGGAGGCCAAGGAGTTCCAGAGCAAGCGTGACTACGCGCGTGTCGAGATGATCAGCTTCCGTCCTGCGCAGTCGGTCACAGTCGGAATCCTCGGACTGGGGGACATCGGCCAGTACACGGGCAAGATGCTGCGCGCCTGCGGCTACAAGGTGGTCGGCTTCAAGCGCCACGTGAGCGCGCAGGACGTGGCAGAGCTTGCAGAGTGCGCGGATCACGTCACCACGAGCCTGGAAGAAGTATTGGCCAAGAGCGACTATCTGATCAACCTTCTGCCAAGCACGAGCGCCACGCGGTACGTGCTGAACGAGACCAACCTGGAGCTCTGTCGCGAGCGCAGCCCCGTGTTCATCAACATTGGCCGTGGCGATGTCATCTCGGAGAAGACGCTGGTCGACGCGCTGAACAAGGGCACGCTGTCGCGGGCGGTGCTGGATGTGTTCGAGCAGGAGCCGCTCCCGAAGGAGAGCGAACTGTGGGAGCACCCGGCGGTGCTGCTCACGCCGCACGTGTCGGGCAAGGTCTTCCCCGAGGACGTGGCCGTAAAGTTCCTCGAAAACTTCAACCGCTACCTCAAGGGTGAGCCGCTGGCCTACGAGGTGGACTGGACCAAGGGCTACTAACGTTAGCTGTCATGTTGGTCTGTAAGTTAGCAGAAGAAGGAGTACTACACAATCTACTCTCACAATATGAACTTCAAAAGTATTCAAAAACTGAGTAGATAAAGTTGAAGTGGTCGTGAAACGACGCGACTTTGGTGCAGTCGTTACTCGTAGGTACAGGTTTTGCCTGGGCGATGACAGCCAGGTTGCTATCATGGGCAAGAGCAAGCAGCAACAATCGAATCCACCGGCAGGCAGCAACGAGGATGGCGAGGACGGCGACGCATTGGCGGGCTCCACCTTGGAGGACTACTTCGCCACGCACAAAGTGAGCGGCCACGTCTCGCAGCACTTGCTCAACATCTCGACGGACAACGACGTCATGGCGGCTGAAAAGGTCAGCGACGGCCCCGATCGGAAGGACGTCGATGGTCGCGCTAAGTCGTCGGAGCGGAAGAGCGACAGCTACGAGGACGACTACGAGTCCGAGACATCAACCCCCAAGCAGACAGAGCCCCCGTCCGAACTCGCAGGCATGACGCTGAGTGACTATCTCCACGTGAAGGAGGACACAAGCAGCGCCGAAACAGAGGAAAAACTGTCAAGAGCGAACTCTCTGCGTGCGTTGCCGCCCCAACTCGCTGCATCGGGGAAGAAGCACGCCCCACCGGCGGATGTGAGCGGCATGTCATTGGATCACTACCTCGGGGCTGCAAGTAGCGACCACAAGGCGGAAGAAAATGGTCACGCCAATCGCGCCGACAAGAAAGCATCTCCGAAGGTCAAGCGGAAGAGCAGCAAGCCCAAACTGAGCGGGTCAACACTGCCTCAGGCTAAGGGCACCCAGCAGCCATTCTCAGTGAAAGGTAGTGGGCTCATTCAGGTGCCGCTCGCCGCCTCTAGCTCGCAGAATATGAGCTCCGACGAAGACAACGGCTCGATTAGCAGCCCCAATTCAAGCCTTACACCCTTCCAGCGACGCCAGAAGCGCAAGGATAAGGCCAAAATCAAGCAGCAGCGAAACGCTGGAGGCGGGTCCTCCATCTCCAAGGCCATCTTGATGACCGAGTCCAATGCATCGCCGCCCACCGTTTTGTCGGTGCGAGATCGAGAGAGACGGAAATCCTCGTTAACTGTGGCGAACCACTCGCACCATCCTCCTCCGGCCCACCACAACTCGCACTCGTCAGCCTCCAATCCTTTGCCTAAGCTGTCTGCGTCTCCATCTGTGCGTAGCATAAGCCATAAAGATCATGACGGTGAAGACGATGCAGCCGAAAAGCTGCCACCATTATAATCAACACGCGAAAGCACACATTGAAATACCCACCCAGGCCATGGCTTGGCTGATGGATAGCTCATTGACCAGGAAAACTTTATACGCCTCGTGTGTGCCGTGTCCCGTGGCTACCCGGCTTACTCAGGCTGGAAGGGTCCCTTAGCCTTGAAGTACTCGATCGCCTTCATTGCCTTGTCGTAGCCGATGTTGTACGCTGGGTGCGTGCGCGCCACCAGGTTGGAAGCATCTCCAAACACGACCGGTTCACCCTTGCCATCTCCATGCTGAGCTACCGACAGACCACTGAGGCAATAGCACGAGTGATAATGGTCGCGAGGCTTTCCGGGCTTGTCACGCAGTCCACCTGAAATCTCCTGTCCGCAAAGCAGGATGTACTTTTGCAGCTGCTCCTGGTGGCATTGGTACGGCACATCCTCGCCATACTTCTGCCGCACAACGTCCGCCAGCAACGCCGGCACTGCGCCTTGCCAGAAACTGTAGCATCCGTCCACGAGCTTGTTGGTGCGTCCCTGGTAGCCGCCTTCAAAAGGCATCTGCCGGTTGGCAAGCCAATGCAGAAGTCCCGGCAAGTCCCGGATCTGGTCGAGAGCTTCCAAAATGTAAAGCGTCGCCAGTGAGCAGAACGCCAACCCGCCGTGGGCCTCGTTGCCCGGTTCACCACCGAATCCTCCCTCGTACGTCTGGCAAGACAGTACGTAATCCACCACACCCGCCTTCAGCTCATCTGTCAAGATGCCGAACAGGCTGGAGATACAGATAACGCAGTAGGTCATCCGAGAGTCCACCTCACTGCCAATTGCATCAAACATACAGAGCACCAATTAGCCACGATCATGTTGACACTATTCGCAATAACCCATAGCACTACGCACCCTCCATCGTGAGCGGTGAAGCCGCCGGTCACCGGGTCTTTCCTCGACAGAAAGAACTGGTAGAGCGCTTGACGGTCCACAGTCTCCAACGCCTCTGGCGTTCCGAGCAGAGCGAGCGTCAAGCACGACGCGTAGGTGGTGGCTGCATGACCCAGCTGCTTGGGACCTCCCCCGAAACCTCCGCCACGCTCGTCGTTCCAGCACATCTTCAGTGTTGCTAAGAAAAAAATTAAAAAGTAGTTAGCATTTACACGCACGTGGAACCTATTCATGTGTTGGGGTCCTACCGATGGCACGCTCGATCTCCTCCTCCAGGAGTGCGTCCAGCAGCTCCAAGGCGTGCAGAATCCAGTAGATAATCCACGGGCGGCTGCAATAGACGCATAAAATCGTTTAAAAAGTCGTTTAAACATCAATTTTAACACAATTTCGTCGCCAGAAAGTGCATGGTATCGAACAGTACCTTGCATCCAGCGCCACGAAGCCCGCTGACAGGCGAGTGAGGCCGCGCTTCAAGTACGCAATGTGCTTCTCGCGCATCAGCAGAGGCTGCACGAAGAAAATAAACCAAGTAAAGCCAAAACTAAAAGTGTTAAAACAGAACTCTAAAATACAATTGCAAATACACATATCCGTGCCTCGAGGTCCGTGTTGACGAAGCTCAGCTGCTGCAGCTGGAGCTGCTGCTCCAGCGGCAGCTCCGGCAGTGGGAAGAAGAAGAGGCTGCAGCTGGACTCGCACTCCTCCTGGTCCGTGGACGTGCGCGTCACCAGCCCGTCGTCCTTGAAGCGGTAGCGCTCCATCGCCGCGAAGTCGAGCGCCTCGCCCATCATTTTTTTATAAGTGCAAAAACGTTTCATCTTTTTGGTTGTCAAAAAATATTTTTGTATCAAATTTTGTGTCGGACCATATCTGATCCTACATCAGGTACCTGATTCCACGAAATGGCTACAGCTTCAACTTTATCAGTACTTTTAGGCTATCGCTTCAACTTTATCAGTACTTTTAGTAGCCGCTGACCCAGTCCACGAGGTACTGCAGGGGTTGGTTCGGGATGTACGCGTCAAGGTTGGGCACGAACACGTCGGCGACGTCCTCGTTGAAGCAGTAGGCGGCGACGTGCGGCGTCATAAAGACCTTTGGGTGGTCCCAGAGCTTGCTGTCGTCCGGCAGTGGCTCCTTCTCGAACACGTGCACGACCGCCGTGGAGAACCACTGGTTGTCCAGCGCGTCCACGATGGTCTGCTCGGCAATGACGTCGCCACGACCGACGTTGATGAAGACGGGCTTCTTCTCCGAGCAGAGCGGGAGGTTCGTCTCGCTCAGCATATACTTGGTCGCGGGTGTGCTGGGCAAGATGCTGACGATGTAGTCGGCCGACCGCAGAACTTCTTCGAGGTCGGTTGATACGTGGTGCGCGCAGCTCTTGAACGCTTCGCCTTCGTCGCCACGCAGCTTCCGCTTGAAGCCGAGCACATTGAAGCCCGCCAGCTTAGCCAGTTGACCGATGGCTTGCCCAATGGCGCCGAGCCCCAAGATGCCGATAGTCACCGACTGGAACGGACGGTAGCGCAAAGGCCGAGGATCGAAGATCTTCTGCTGCATCGCATGAGCTTCGTGAAATTTACGCTCGAGCGTGACGATCCACCCGAAGACGTACTGCGCTAGTCCTTTGATGCCACCGGCCCGCGTCAATTGGAACTGCGGAGGCGGCGTGCCCGCTTCTCTCAGCGCGAGGTAGCGCTCCACACCTGCATACGTGCCCTGCACCCACTGCACGTTCTTGAGCAGGTGCTGCATGTTCTTGGGTAGCCCGGTCTCCGGTGCCAATAGCAGCGGCGCGCAGTTGTGCGCGTCTCCCAGCACGATCGTCGCCCGCTCCAGCACCTCTTGCTGCTCCTCCGTGAGCTCCCACTTGGTCTCCACTAGCTCAGACTCCTTCGCATCGACTTCCGCGCCAGGAGCAGCGGCCTGAGCTCCGTGAGACGGGGGGAACGTCGGTAGCGGCAGTGTGATGAATTCCAGTCCTCCGGCCTGGAACAGTGTGCGCGCGGGCGAGTCCACGGCCAGCAGTCGCTGCGTCACCGCGTCGGCCAGCCTCTCCTTAAACGTGATGATCGGGATCCGGAGCTTCGTCGCCATGACCGCCAATAGCGAGTGACCGTGGAGCGCAGAGTGCTAGAAGAGCGCAATTGCGAAGTGATCACAGCCCCACGTCAACCAACGCAGCCATGATGACGTATCTGTTCAACGGAAAATCACTTGATTAAAGTATGGGCGTGTCTTACGTGGAGATGGCTACACTGCGTCGACCAGCGCAATAACGGAGACCTAGAGCTTGGGCGAGCCCTTGGTCAGGTCCACAACGATCTTGCCAATGTTCTTGCGCTCGTACATGTAGTCGATGGCGTTCGGGATGTCCTCGAGCCCGTAGAAGTTGGACGGGTCCACGCCGGCGTTTAAAACGCCGCGCTGCACGAGGGTCGTGAGCTTCTTGGTGTGCGCCTGCGTCTCGCGGAAGTAGTCGTTGTAGAAGAAGCCGCGTACGGACGCCGACTTGGCCAGCAGCTTGGACGGCAGTGGCGTCGTGGCCTTGCTGGGCTTGTGCTTCCACGTGCTCGAGTCCTGGTAGCCGGCGATGGCACCGATGACGATAATGCGGCCCTTGCGCGCGATGTTGTTGACGCAGTCCTCGAACATCTCGCCGCCCACGCTCTCGAACACGAGGTCCACGCCGCGCGGGTACTCCTTCTTGAGCACGTCGTACACCTTTTCCTCGCGGTAGTTGATGGGGCGGTCGCAGCCGATCGAGCGCAGGTACTCCACCTTGTCGGGCGAGCTGCACGTGCCGATCACGTGGTTGCCGGCGAGCTTGGCGAGCTGTACGGCGAACTGGCCCGTGGCGCCGGCGGCCGCCGTGATCAGCACGGTCTCGCCGTGGGTCATCTGCCCAACGTACTCGAGCGCCATGGACGCCGTCAGACCGCACACGATGATCGGCAGCACCTCCGGCACGGCGGCCGGCACCTTCACGAGGAACCGCTCCTTGGCCACCAAGTGCTCGGCAAACGCGCCGTACGCTGTCGTCAAAAGAAGAGCAAGTCAGGCGCAAGGTCAAGGTCAAGTGTGGCAATGGTTATTGCACGTACAGGTGGAGGCCACGGCGTCGCCCTTCTTGAACCTGGTCACGCCCGGACCAACTTCCACAACGATGCCCACTGCATGGCATGACACACAGAGAAGTAAAAGGATGAGACCAACGTCGAAAGATCTTTTTGCAGGGGAACGTTGTGGTCCTTACGGGCCTCGAAGCCGCAGTCGAACGGCGGCTGCACGCCCGGCAGGTACGCGCCGTTGGTGTAGTTGATGTCGGAGGCGTTGATGCCGCAGTACTTGGTCTGCACCAGCACCTCGCCCTGCTTGAGCGCCGGCACGTGGAACGGGACGATGGCCGTGCACTCGCGGAAGTTGGTGGACAGCTTCTGGCACACGATCTTGCGGGACTGCACCATGGCTGCGGGGGCAGGGGTGGACGTGGAGAGGGAGTGAGCGTGGGTGTGGGTGCGTGCGGCGCTTGGCGGATGCAGGAATGGAGCGCGGCGAGCACGGCTGGCAGGGCTTGTTGAAGCTTCGCTGCTTACGTTTACGCTTTGCGTCGAGTTGCCTCTTGCAGGATGTGCGTTGCAACTTGGCGACAGTTGCGCGTTGACTAAACAGATACTTGTGTAGGGACAAGGCTCTCGTTAAAGCAACTTGGGTTTGGGCACCTTCAGCAACTTCGTGCAACTTCGGGCACCTTGGTCGAAAAAAGTTGCCCAAAGGTGCGCAACTTCGTGCACCTTTGCGCACCTTTGAGCACCTTCGTTAGAGCAACTTCGTGCAACTTCAAGCACCTTCAGCACCTTTGGGCAACTTCGACGAAACCCGAACATTTGCAATACTGAATTTTTGCACTAGCGAGTAGGCTCTGCAACTTCAACAGCAACTGCATGCACCATTCAGCAGAGTGCGTTCACGCTACCTGTACTGCTAGGCAAGCTGTTGAATAAAGAACACTAAATTATATAGGGGGCGGAGTGAACATCTTTTGCTTCGACCTGAGCAACACAGCTCAGTTCAGCCCTGGTAACCCTTTCAAGCGAAGGTCGACCTCTTATTGCTGACTTGAATGCCAAGTCAGAGGTAAGGCTTTGCATCGATGGTATTCACACTGTAAAGTTACGGTGTTCTGTCACAATCATAAAGCTACACAGATAAACAAATGATTCGCACTGCCTTTTTCGTGTGGTACGCGCTACTTCCAGCGGGACCATCACTGACGATGTGGCTGGGAAGCACGCTAGGAACTCCAACCTACATCAAGCTGTAGCGACTATCTTAACTTTACTATGTTTAAACATAGTGGGGGCTCATCTAGGCGAGGACACTAGGTGTTGTGTTTGATGAACGCAGCATGATCCACATCATCACTGAGAAAGTTGCGCAACTTTTTGGTGGAGTCGTGATAATTACTTTCTTAGAGTGGGGCAGAGTGGAGCACGAACTTAAGCAAATGCTAGTGTTCACAAACAGTTTGTTGCTGTATAATTTATATAGCTTACACATTGGAGGAGTTAGACAGGTATCCATTAATGATAGAAGTATCTCCAAGCTCAATCTTCGGGATACATAATTAAAACTTAAGTACTTGAAGTAGATAGTTCGCTATCTTCTACGTGACGAGTACTTGTGGAGCACTGATGAAGTATTCTCGATGTCCACGTATCTCTGCGTTGCATGCTAGTCCTGAAATTCCATGCTTCACAGTTTCCGCTCTTCTAGTAGTGGACCTAGAATAAACGTCCAAGTACAGTATACCATACCTGCAGGTTGCCCTTGTTGCCGTGACTAAGCAACGACGACTGTATGGCCGCAGTGGCATTTTGATACCGTTCAAAACATAACAAGGCTAGTAGTAAGTACATACAGTAAAAAAATGTCCTACCTTACATAGTTCGCGTTGGGATCATCGGTCCCCGTGTCAGTGCTGATGCATTTTGTCGTGGTTGCTTGGCTCACAGTCATTTCATACGCTAACGTTCACACCACCGACCCACCTCTCTACATAGTTTTAATGGACGGTATAATCTTCAGCCACTTCAAACTTACAGAAGAGCCTTAACGCGAAAGTTCTCATACATATTTCTTTTGGTATCTCGTGTTATCGAATCTCTGCCCAAATTTTCCGGTGCTTCGTCGTTAGGTGAAGGTAGAGGGATCCAAAACCAGCGATACTTGGCTAATGAACGTCTTTGCCGTTGCTGTTGCTACTGCTGCTGCTGTAGATGGCGTCGATCCTGATGGAGACCGTGAGTCAGGAGCTGAACGTGCCCAATCGCAGCTTCATCCACATACAGCGCTCCAACTGGGTCGAGGTCGTAGTGAGCCACTAAGCTCCTTGCCCAGTAGACCTTGCGCACCGCTCAACGCTCGAGTCTCGAGTCCTCTCGCCTCTGAGCTACGCAATATGTTGGCGCATGGACGTTTTCAACAGCCACAAACCATACTCTAGTAACATGGCATATAAAAACAGTAGTTAGACGGCAAACATTTGTGGACGTACATGCCCGAAAGTCTGGCAATAGAGGAACGAACGCACACTGTCCATCAGATTACTTTCCACTGCGGGTCACTTGTGCTCAAAAGGCGACGTGGTGCCGTGCAATATGCCATGCACATGAGCCACATCAGATCAAGCGCCACCGATAACAGTCCCCTTAATGCGTCTTTGCCTTCGCGCCGCTGCATTTAAGGCCTTATCACAACGCGTCGGAATGTGTGCCACGTGCTCATCGAAGAACAACTCGCTACAGGACCATTGTCGTTGCGCTGCACGCAGTCAAGTCTCTGTTATCCAAACGTGCCGAGAAAGCGAGTGAATTTGCAAGCGCGCATTCACCAACCCCCGCGTTACGACTGTGTTGAAGCGTTATCCCTGCCATAGTATCGCAAGAAGGGTTAGATCAGAGCTACATGTCAGTGCGGCTGCAGCAGCGGCTAGGCGTACATGATCGTGCGCAGCAGGAAGTTGCGCAACGTTTCCCGCGCAGATCTGTGGCCGACGGCGCGAATTGGCGAATGAGGCCGTCACGTGAAGATCCACGTGAATTTCACAATAGGGTAAACTCGAAGTTGCACGAAGTTGCCCAAGGTGCCCGAAGTTGCCCGAAATGAAGTTGCACGAAGTTGCCCAAGGTGCCCGAAGTTGCCCGAAATGAAGTTGCACGAAGTTGCCCAAGGTGCCCGAAGTTGCCCGATATGAAGTTGCACGAAGTTGCCCAAACCCAAGTTGCTTTAACGAGTGTCGTGGCGACCATGAAAAATAGGGCGGGAGAGATGAATTGCTAGATCTTACACTTTACAGTATAATGCATGTATAACGAAACCAAACGAGCTGAAAAGTGTCGCTTATTTTCTTAGAAGAGTAAGCACAAGACTTTGGTTGATCGATCACTGTTCGACCCTGTCTCCAAAAGGAGAGCGATCTAGCTGCAGCCCAATTTCCTGTTTATTCGGCGCGCTCCATGACTTGTGTCTAAGTTATGCTCCCTTCGGGGTTTAGAAATACTAGAAAAACACAGGATAAATGTAAATCAAGCTTGTGTACTTGTTGCTTACTACTTCCTGCATACGCTCAAAAACCGAAACCTCATCAAAATATCTAGCGCGTTTTACGGGGCCATCTCGACATCGACGTCCAGTGGCGCGACGTTGAAGGACAGTTTGCCGCCGGTCTCCGTGATCTCCACGTGAGTCTTCGCGTGGAGCTGACCGGAGATAATGAGCTTGCTCAGGTCCGTGACAATGTGCTTCTCGATGTAACGTTTGATGGGACGCGCGCCATACTGCGGCTCGTACGACTCGTCCAGAATCACGTCCAGCGCGGCCGTCGTCACGTTCACCGAAATCTGCGACTCCTTCAGGCGGTTGATCACCGACTCGAACTGCAGCATCACGATCTGGCGAAGCTCCTTGCGGCCCAGCGGCTCGAACACAACAATGTCGTCCAGACGGTTCAGCAGCTCCGGGCGGACCGTGTGGCGCAGCTGCTGAAGCACCAGCTCGCGCTGCTTCGCGAACTCCTTCTTGGTGTCGTTTTCGGACTTCACAAAGTCGCTCTCGGTCTTGATCTTCTTGCTAGCGCGCATCAACGGGTCGTTCTCGAAGAGCAAGTGCTCTGCGCCGATGTTCGACGTCATGATGACAACCGTGTTGGCGAAGTCGACCGTGCGTCCGTGCGAGTCCGTCAGACGACCGTCGTCCAACACTTGCAGCAGAATGTTGAGCACCTTCGGATGGGCCTTCTCGATCTCGTCCATCAAAATCACGTTGTACGGGTTGCGGCGCACAGCCTCCGTAAGCTGGCCGCCTTCCTCGTGTCCGATGTAGCCCGGGGGTGAGCCGATGAGGCGGGAAACGGTGTGCTCCTCCATGTACTCGCTCATATCGATACGCACCATGTGCTTGTCATCATCGAAGAGCTCGTACGCGAGTGCCTTGGCCAACTCCGTCTTGCCGACACCGGTGGGGCCCAGGAACAGGAAGCTGCCGGTGGGTTGTCCAGAACGCGCAAGTCCAGCACGCGAACGGAGCACAGCGTCGCAAACCGCTTTCACCGCTTCCTCTTGGCCGACCACGCGCTGGTGGATACGCTCCTCCAGGTGCATGAGGCGGTCGCCCATACTCGACGTTAGGCGCGACACTGGGATGCCTGTCCAGCGAGCCACCACCTCGCAGATCTGGTCTTCACGCACGACTTCTTCGACCATCTTGTGCTGCGTTTCATCCGCGTCTTCACGCTTCTTGGCTTCCTCCGCTTCGGCGATACGGCGACGGACATCAGGGATAGCGTAGTACTGCAGATCCGACGCAGTCTGCAGGTCTTGGTTGCGCTCAGCCTGCTCCGCCTTCAGCTGCAGGTGCTGGAGCTTCTCGCGTAGCTGTCGGATTTCGTTCACGCGAGCCTTCTCAGATTCGTGCCGGAGCTTCAGCGGTCCCAATTCGTCCTGGATCTTGTTGAGCTCTTCTTGCACCTTTTTGAGACGCTGCTTGCTCATTGCGTCCTTCTCCTTCCCAAGAGCAGTGGCCTCGACTTGAAGCTGCAGGTGTCGGCGCTCCAATTCATCGATGACTTCAGGTTGGCTATCGAGCTGAACGCGCACATTCGCGCACGCTTCGTCGATGATATCGATGGCCTTGTCGGGCATGAACCGTTCCTTGATGTAGCGGTCGGCGAGCTTGGCAGCAGCTACCAGCGCCGCATCCTGAATCTGCACGCCGTGGTGCGACTCGTACCGCTCCTTCAGTCCTCGCAGGATGCTCACCGTGTCCGGAACGGACGGCTCCTTGACCATCACTTGCTGGAAACGACGCTCGAACGCCTTGTCCTTCTCCACATGCTGGCGATACTCGTCCAATGTCGTTGCGCCAATGCAACGCAGCTCACCGCGCGCAAGCATTGGCTTGAGCAAGTTGGCCGCGTCCATGGCTCCTGAGGTCTGTCCGGCGCCGAGGATCAGGTGCATCTCGTCGATGAACAGGATGACCTTGCCGTCGCTGTCCTTCACCTCCTTGAGCACGGCCTTCAGACGCTCCTCGAACTCGCCGCGGTACTTGGCGCCAGCGATCAGAGCGCCCATGTCCAGACTGATGAGCTTGCAGTTGAGCGAATCGGGCACGTCGCCCACCACGATTCGGCGCGCCAGTCCCTCCACGATGGCAGTCTTGCCCACGCCAGGCTCGCCGATCAGCACCGGATTGTTCTTTGTTCGGCGCGACAGGATGCGGACCACGCGGCGGATCTCCTCGTCTCGGCCGATCACCGGGTCGATCTTGCCCGCCTCGGCCAGCTCGATCAGGTTCTGGCCGTACTTGTTGAGCGCGTCGTAGTTCTCCTCGGCCGACGCGCTCGTGACGGGGCGGCCGCCGCGCATCTTGGCCACGGCGTCCTTGACCTGGTTCTCGTCCATCTGGTTCGCCTTGAGCAGGCTCGCGACCTGCGAGTTGTGGTACAGCGCCACGAGCAGGTGGTCGGCGGCCAAGTGCGTGTCCTTCATGTCCTTGCGCATCTTGTGCGCGTACTTGAGCATCTTGACGAGCGCCGAGTCGGCGCCGATGGTGTCGGGCGCCGGCGTCTGGCTCGGCAGCTTCTTGATCTGCAGCATCACGTCCTGCTGGAAGCCGGCCACGTTGCCGTGCACCAGGTCGGCCACGCGCTTGGCCGTGCCGTTGCGGTCCTCGAACAGCGCGTGCGCCACGTGCAGCGGCGTGAGCTGCGAGTGGCCCAGCTCCTCCGCCATGTCCTGCGCGTTGCGCAGGTACTCGTTCGTCTTGTCCGTGAACTCTGCGGGATTCATCGTCTTCTGTGTGTGTGTCTTGTGTGTGTATGTGTTGATATACGCTTCGCTTGTCCTCGCTTCACTTGCGTCCTTCAAGGTAGATTGAATAGTGACGAGGCCACAGCTTTGCGGATGATGCGGATCATGATGGCTTGGCTGCGTTGTGTGCCTATGCTAGAACCTTCCAGATCGTACTTAGAAGGATTCGTTTACTCAGTCCAAGTCAAACGGCGTGTGACATGGACGGGCGCGCTGATTGGTCGAGCCACTTCAACGTGGTGCATAGTGAAAGGCATACTTAAGTATCCAGAAGGCTCGAGTGTATTCTGGAGCGCGGCTATCAATACACGCTCATTCTTTCTCGACTGAGCCTCCGCTGCCATGGCGCTGCGCAGCTCGGCGGAGATGTTCGACGAGGCGCAGCGCATCGGCCACCAGCTGCAGCTCGACTTCGACCGCTACGACCGGCGCCAGGAGATTTTCCGCAAGAAGTTCGCGGCCGAGACGCGCAAGCAGAACCAGGGGATCTGCGACGGCGCGGTCACCAACAACGCGACGTCCTCGGGCGTCGCGGCGCTGCTGTTCGCGCAGCACGACGCTTCGCAGGGCGACGACGACGACGAAGGCTCCCGTCGAGGCAGCAGGAAGGGCTCGCTGTCGGGCGGAAGACGCCGCATCTCGACTGAAAAGGACAAGCACCCCGAGGTGTTCCGCGCGCTCTCTTGCTTCTACAACCCGCCGGACGCAGCTACCGACGTGGTTTGCGAGCTCTGCTTCGGCTTCCGCAGCGCCTCGATGGTGCAGCCGCTGCCTGCGCCCTGGACCGAGTACTGCGACGACACCTCGGGCAAGCACTACTTCTACCATTCCGGCACGCGGCAGGTCCGGTGGCAGCCACCGCCGGCTACAGACCCACTCAGTGTGCTGGTGTTCGAGCGCACCAACTCGGTGTACACTGTCTGCCACTGCATCCCGTCCAACGAGCGGCGCCGGCGACTCATGCAGAAGTTCCGCGAGCACGCGATGCAGATGGCTCGAGCGGAAGCAGAGAAGCGGGACCGCCACCTGCGCGGCGCGTTCATCTCCCTCGCGATGTCGCTGGTGCCGTTCTCTGGGGACGGCAAGCAGCCGAAGAAATGAAACACCAGTAGTCACTTAAAGCAAACCGAAGCGAGTAAGTCGATTTTCGTCGCCGATTACACGCCAGCATTGTTCCATCTAAGCACGTCTAAAGTGCTTGTGCATCTTCTCATCCAGGAAGTTGAGAAACTCCTTGCGCTCGTCGCAGGAGAACCACAAGCTCAAAACGTAGCGCGTGCCAGTCTCCACCTTGCGCACGACGTGCAGGTTCTCCGAGCCAGCCGTGAACATTATCAAGCGCCCGCGAGCCGGCTCAACGACGGTCTCCGTGCTGTTGTCGATGAACGAGAACAGGCCGCCCGTGAAATCCTCACCGTAGTCCGCCAGGTACAGCAGACCCGAGTAGTCATAGTGCCTCGTGTTCTCCTTGTCCACGTGCGGGTGCCTACGCATCAGCAGCAGTAACGACACGTTGCTGTTAGCACAATCTCATCCGCTGCAGTTAATAGTGACAAACCAATACTTACCAGTACTCGTCGTGGAGCTCCGCCGGAGTCCACGACTCGTTGCCAATCAAGCGCGTGATGAACGTAGGCGCAGAGAAGTAGAGCACGTCAAGGTCGAACTCCTTCATCACCGCCAAGCGGATCTTCTCGACGACACTGACGCAGCAAACAGCAAGTATGCCAATCGGTTAGTGAACCAGACAATCTCAGGCAGCCTCACCATCAGCCGCTGCACTCACCCGCGGTACAGGTCGAACTGCTTCTTGGTGAAGCGCTTGACGCCAGGCTTGTTCTCGTCGGGGACCTTGCTCTCAGGCTGGTAGATGTTGACCAGGCCTTCGCTGTCGCGCACGAAGCCCGTGTTGATGTCCATGATCGTGGGGCCGCCGAGCTTCGAGCGGCCCTTCATGCCAGCCTCCGCGATCTCACGCAGCTGCGTCACCTGCTTCGGGGTCACGAAGTTGTCGATCACTGCGCGGCCGCACAGGGTCTCGTTCTCCTGGTGGCAGCCCGGCACGAACGTCTCCCATTCCTAGGCAATAAATAACAGAGCAATATGAGCTCCTTGTCCACACACAACAATCGTCAGACCAACGACGCACCCTCAAGGGGGAGCACGTGACGTTGAAGCGCAGATGCTCCGTCACGTCCGTGCGGGCGATGTAGTGGGCCGCGCGGACGATCTCCACGTCCAGTTGGCGCAGGTAGTAGGTCACGGCCATGGCTGCCCCCACCGCGAAGAGCTTGAGCACCCATCCGTAGGTGCCCAACTCGGGGGCTGCAGGCTCCTCCTCCTTCTTGACTTCAGTCTTGGAGGTCGCGGCGACCTCCTTCGTGGTGGAGGCGGGGGCCTTGACCTTCTTGGCGTTCTTGCGCGCCATGGCGATTGCAGGGCGGGACGTCGTACGTGGCGAATGCAAGTGTGCGGACGACGGGCTCACTTGACAAGTGGCTAGAAGGCGAATATTCGGACGATTCCGGGGCGAGATTTGCAATTACATTGCCAAGAGAGACTTCGGTTGCAGATTCCTCAACGATGAGCGCGCGCACGACGGAGGTGAAGGCGGCCGAAGCTCGGCTCGCGCAGCACCGCGACGATGCAGTGCACGCCAAGGCGCAGCTGGCGGAGTCGCTCGACGCGCTCAAGGCAGCGCAGAGCCGACTGCTGGTGAAGCGCTTGGATGAGACCATCGTCGAGCAGCGCAACGTGGAGCAGGAGGCCCTCACGTACTCGAAGAACGTCAACTCGCTGTACCAGCGCGCGGCCAAGTGGAAGGCGGAGCAAAAGCGCTTCCGGTCGGGCTTGGACGTACGTGGCCCTTGCCGACTTCCGATGAGTTGGTGCTAGTGCGTGATGAATGAGCTGCTGTGTCAATGCGTGCATGCTGATGTTGCAGGGACTGGATCGGTTCGCCGAGTGGGCTGCTGCCACGGAGAGTGACCTGCACGCCATCGCTGGCAACTTAGAGTACGTGTCTTCAGTGCTGGAGAAGGAGCACGACGAAGCCCCCAACGGCGGATACGCGCGCGCCCAGGAGTCTGCGTGAAAAAGTGGTGGCCATTGCAGGATCTAGGTCTAGGTAGGTAGTCCGTGCTGGATGCAGCATCATGAAGTTAATTAATACGCAATGTCATTTAACGCGAAGCTGCTGCTGCGAGCAACGCCGTAGCAAATTAATTAGAACGTGATGAGGCAGAGGATGACGAGGCTGCCGACGATCAGTAGAAAGCGAGACAGGAAGGCCTGCTGCACCTGCTGACGAGCTTCCTGCGCTGTCAGCGGTGACCCGTCTGGGTGGTGCGCGACGGGAGGTGGCGGTTGCTAAACACCAGTACAACGCAAAAAGCCAATTCGGTTAGCAACCTTTCAAGCTGCGGGCAACAACAAGCACGTACGTATGGCACACCGAAGAGCGCAGGGAAGAACCCCATGGTCGGCGACATCGCGTTGCCGTTTCCATTTCTATTGAACAGCCCGAACTGCAATAATCACAACCCATTAGAGAAGAGATGCCATCCACGAATGCATCAGATAGTCCGGCGCGTACACTGTAGGGGCGCCTTTGTCGGAGCTGCTCGGCATCAGGACGTTGCCCACGAGGGCGGTGGGGGATGCCGCTATCCGACATTTGTTGCTGGGTTCTGCAGCAAGCGATAGCATTAGTACTAAAGTAACAGGACGTGTAGTATCCTCAATATCTCACCGTGGGTCCACAGCTTCAGCTCCTCGAGCGTACACGGGGATGACGTTCTCCTCGCTGATGCCGGCCTTGCACACCGGACACTCGGAGTGGTTTTGCATCCACTGCGCGCAGCAACTCACTCACGTCAGTCCGACTGCAACAACAAAGGAATAGCAATCCGCTTTGCGTTGGCAAACACTCGACAATACCTGATACAGGCATGGCCAACTGCGAGGCAAATGACACAAAATGCTACGCGTCAGAACACCAATAAACGCAAAAGCGACACGACTAAAAAGCTTCCAGGGCGCAGACTCACCAGTAGAGGTGTCCACACAGCGTCACCACCGGGCTGGACACCGTGTCCAGGCACACATTGCACTCGAAGCAAGGCTTCACGCTGTCCGACGGCTCAGCTGGCGTCACGTCCGCTGCTGTCGGCTCCATTCTCAACTTGTTCGTAGATTTGTTTATTTCCGTTTTACTTTCGTCATTTTAACCTTTTTTGCATTTATAGTCCCATTTTCCCGATAGTTACCCCAACGTAGCCCCTAGAGCAAGGATACACTACGCACCATTCGCGCTCGGCTGCTTGGCTGGTTGATCTTGCAACGACCCGATGGAAGTGCTGCGAAGGCGACTTTCAGCATCATCACGAACCTTTGCCAGCTTTAACTTGCGGTTGCTTGGCGAGAGCCTCGCTGACGGTGAAGTGGAAGCACTAGCCTGCATTGGTGTTGCAAGTGGAGCTGGAGCTGTTAACGCCGCTGGGGGGATCTGCGCACCAAGCGGAGATGAAACCGGCACATCACAAGGTTCCTTCGGAGGCCCGGCGGAGGCCATCAACGATTCTGCTGCAATGGCTAGAGCTGACAGATTCTCGGTGCTCGGTTGGATAGAACCAAGATCGGAAGGCTGCGTCGTCGAAGGCAGCTCGGAGACTTTGCTGGCAGCCGTTGCCACAGCACCATCACTTGTCGTGGAGCTCTTCGGGGTGCCATATCTCTTCCTCCTCTTTAGGTTAGCGTGCGCGTCCGGATCCTCCATCACGGCGCGCTGCTTCTCCTTGAGCTCCTCGATCTGCAGCGTGTATCTCGCCTTCTCCTCCGGGTCGGTGGCCACGGCCTCCACCTGCTCCAGCATTTGAATGGTGCGGGTCAGCGAGCGGATCTGTCGGTGCGGCCAGCGCTCGATGCCGCAGCGGCGACACATTTTCTTGAGGAACGTGGTGCAGATGCCGAACTCGCGCGCGACCTCCACGATGGGCTTGTCGAAGTGCGGGCGCAGCTCCTCCAGCGTCAGCTCGTGCGACAGCGCGATCATGTGCGCGCTGCGCTGCTGCACCTTCTTGGCGGCCGCGATGCGAGGCAGAGACAGCTCGTCCGAGGCCTGTTTGGCCACCACCTCCATCAGCGACTCGTGCAGCGCGTCCGTGTTCTCTGAATCGGCGCGCGGTTCTCCCGCCGCTTCAGGCGCCGGCCTCGGCGTCGGAGGCTGCATCATGTGCAACAGCGAGAAGCCCGCCTGCACCTCCTTGTAGGACCTGTCGGTGCCCGTCATTTGCAGCTCAAGGCGCGCGCGCGACGTCGAGCGCAGAAGCTCGTGGGTTGCGTCCCTCCTCCCTTCACGAGGCGATGCTAGTCAAACTGAACTCCCCTCAAAAACTCTTCGATATCAAGTCAAAGAGGTTTTTTGTCCGGATACAATCGGGTTGAGGAGTCGATATACACGATGAAAGGGAAATAGTGGTACATTGTACCAGATATGTACAGCGAATCGCAATAATGCTCGACACCTCCAACCTTACCCGACTGAACAACATGTCTGCCGTGATGTGGTTCATTTACCCAGCGCTAAATAATATAACGAGTCTACCGATAGTTAAATAGGACTTGCCCTCGTTGAACACTACCTATGCATCTGCGGCCGCGTCGTCCTCGTCCTGAGCCTTCCGCATGAGCTTGGCGAGGCGACGCTGCGCTGCGAGTTGGTGCGAGTACTCCACCATGAACCGGTTGGAGCCGACGCCGAACACGTCTCCGTGCAGGAGGTACCGCCTGCGGCTCTTCTTGCCGCTGGCGCTGAGGCGGATGGCCGTGCCGTTGGTGCTGTGGAGATCCGTGATGTAGAAGCCGTTGCCGAAGTACGAGATCACGCTGTGTCGGCCCGAGATCGAGTCGTCCTCCGTGATGCACAGCGCGTTGGTCGAGTGGCGCCCCAGCGTCACGGACGTCTTGCCGATGGTTTGGCAGATGCCCGTGAGCGGGCCGTCGGTGAAGCGGATGCGCAGGAAGGGCGTGCCCGTCGTGATGTTCTCGTCGATGGCCGACACTTCAAACTCCGTGTCGCCGAGCTTCACGCGGTCGTCCACATGCAGCCGCTTGGGCGCGTCCGGCTTGAGGAACATGAACGTGCCCGTAGTGCTTCCGAGGTCCTGCAGATAGTACTCCTTCTCCATAGGATCGTACTGGACCTGGAAGTGGAACCGGCTCACGTACGGGTCGTCCGAGATGATCTGGTTGCTTTGGTGTCGTCCGCCGCGCGCGCCCTCTCGCGGGTGAAGCACGATCTTTCCTCCGAGATCGCCCTTGCTGCTGGCACGCACGACCTTGCCCTCACCCTTGTCCTCCGTCAGGCGGCGATTGCGGCCTGGGCCGCTGTCGCTACCAGCGCTGGACGACTGCCTGCCGACGCCGGAGAGGAGACGAGGTTCCGGCGACAACGACGACACGATCAACAGGTCGTTCTCGTCGATGTCGAGGTCCGCGTCGTTCCAGCTCTCGGAGCGGGTCGTGGGTCGGCCATGGTGGTGCTGGTGACGATGCTGGTGGTGCTTGCCGCCGCGCAGCCACGCGGGCCTGGTCCTCGTGTGCTTGAGCTTCCAGTCGCGCAGTTTGTCGAAGTAGCTGGCGAGCTGCTTGGTCGCGCACCGCAGCGGCGAGTGCAGGTGGTAGCGGCGCGAGAGCACGAGCGTGCCGATCCAGACCGCGAGCGACAGCATGACCAGCAGCCAGCGCAGCCGCGAGGCCAGCTCGGACAGCACGCTGTGCAGCCCGTCGAGCTGCTCGCTGCCCACGGCGGCCACCGTGGCGAGGCTGTAGAGCAGCTCGTCGTTCACGTGCTGCGCGTTCAGGCTCTTGAAGTAGAGCGTCAGCTGTGTGTGCATGTAGGCCACGGACGCCACGATGGCGGACGAGTAGGCCGTCGCGTGCAGCCAGCTCCAGTGCATCATGGACTGCGAGTGGCGGCGCGAGCGCACGCCGCTGCGGCGAAACCGCGCGCCCACCTTCTTCTCCATCTCAAGCGGCGGCGGCGACAGCGCGAGGGGATTGACGGATCGATCGAGTGAGTGAGACTCGGACTGCGGGAAGAGCGAGGAAACTGCCTGAGCAGTGTCGCCCTCTGGCAGCGCCGCAGATTTTGGTCCACAAAAAAGTTAAAGTCCCGCAAATGTGTCCCAGCGGCGGCCTATTTTATGAACCCACTCGACAAAAGAAAGTTACTCACACCCAAACTTACGTGGCACAAGATGACCAGCATGCAGCAGCCCGCCCCGCCGTCGCTGCGCTCGCTGCTGTTGCTGCTGCTGGCGGCCGCTGCCATCGCCTTCTTCACCAAGCGCCGCTTCTTCCTCGCCGCGCGTGCTGCGGCCCGCAAGCGCGCGTCCGGGACCGTGACCGTGGGCGTCTTCCACCCGTACGCCAATGGCGGCGGCGGCGGCGAGCGCGTGCTCTACTGCGCGCTGCTGGCGCTCGTGCAGCGCTTCCAGCGCGCCGACAGGCGCGACGCCAAGCTGCAGATCGCGCTGTACGCGGGCGACGACGGGCTCTCGGCCGCGCAGCTCGTGGCCCGCGCCGCGGACGCCTTCAACCTGCCGCAGCTCAACGCGCTGCACGTGGAGCGCTACGTGACGCTCGTGCCGCTGCCGAGCCGCGAGATCCTCGAGCCGAGCCGCTACCCGAGCTTCACGCTGCTGTGGCAGAGCGTGGCGCACATCCGCTTGGCCCTCGAGGCCTTCCAGCAGAGCAGGAGAGTGGGGATCTACCCGCAGACGTGGGTGGACACCACCGGCTGCCCGTTCTCCTACGTGGTGGCCAGCCTGCTCTACGCCTGCCCGGTCGTGGCCTACGTGCACTACCCCATGATCTCCACCGACATGATCACCAAGGTGCAGCAGCGCGACGCGGGCTTCAACAATGACGCGGCCATCGCCGCCAGCTCGTCCAGGTCCACGGCCAAGTACATTTACTACCGCCTGTTCGCAGGCGCCTACAGCCTCGTGGGCAAGTACTGCACCGACGTGGCCATGGTCAACTCGACGTGGACCTACAACCACGTCAAGCAGCTCTGGGGCAAGGCGCCCACTATCGTGTACCCGCCGTGCGGGGCCATGCTCGAGTACATGGACTTCAGTCTGGAAAACCGCGAGCTCATCGCGCTCTCCGTGTCGCAGTTCCGGCCGGAGAAGAACCAGCTCTTGCAACTTCAAGCCTTCCAGGTGCTGCTGACCAAGTACGCGGAGCAGATGAACTCCAAGTTCCACGACTTCCGGCTGGTGCTGCTGGGAAGCTGTCGCAACGCCGACGACGAAGCGCGCGTCGAGACGCTCAAGCAGCTGGCAAAGGAGCTGGGCGTTGCAGATCGAGTGGACTTTGTGGTGAACGCGAGCTTTGCCGAGCTGAAGCGGTACCTGGCCAAGAGCTATATCGGTGTGCACACCATGTACAACGAGCACTTCGGCATCAGCAACGTGGAGATGATGGCGGCAGGGATGCTCGTGGTCGCCAACAACTCCGGTGGCCCCAAGGCCGACATCGTCAAGGCTGAGACGGGTTGTCTGGCGCTCACGGCCGACGAGTACGCGGACAAGATGCTGTTGCTGCTGGAGAAGTCCCCGGCCGAGGCGGTGGAGATGCGATCGGCGGCGCGCAACTCGTCTCTGCGATTTTCTGACGAGGAGTTTGGCGAGCAATTTTTAGCGGCCATGGACGGTGTGCTAGATGCACTGGTGGACACCGCCTTCGCTGGCAAGGAGTGATATCGGTATGAATAACACAAAAACCGTGGTGCAGTGAGTGCTGGTGCTGTCCCGAGGGGTGTTCACTTTACTTGTTTTGCGCCGGCCACTGGTTTGCTGGCAGTTGATCTCATAGTTTCTTGTGGCGGGCCTTGTTCACCGGTACTGTCGACCGCTGAGCGGGGCGCTGCAAGACTGGAGAGCATACTGCAACCAGTACTGATCATTTGTTGCTGTCGTTATGCTCGCCTCCGTCTCAATCGCGAAACAACTTCATGACATTTCGGATGCAGGCAGGTGATCACCAATCGGTCTCAAGAGTTGGTTTCGCCTTCAACGGATGCAGGAAGAGTCGCATGCGTGGCTAAATGGAGAGGCCGAGGAATCGAAACGACCGCCGCCTGGAGCAGACGTCGAGATCCAACGTCCGCGACTCGTGGGCGGAAGGCACTTTCACTTCGGAAGCTTGAGATATCGGTCGAGGAGAGCAGAAGCGAGCGGGATCTGAGTGGCCGAGCCCAAGTGTCTACTTAGCCTACCATGCCGGGATCATCCAACCGAGACTCGCATCCTCGGTTGTCGTCCGCCGACATCGTCGCGGTGACGACCGAGATGCGGCTGCGCCAACAGGGGAGGAAGAATCGAACCACCAAAGGCAAGGATGAAACGGACGACGCCAAGCGAGAGCTCGTCATGACGGAGCACAAGCAGAGCCCCGCCGAGATCTTCGCGGATCTCGGGTCCGATCCTGTCAATGTAAGTATCTCAATGCCAAGAGAGCTGCAAGTGTTTATTAGATACTGACGATTGCTTCGGAACCGCAGGGTATGACCACCCACGACGTCCAGGGGCGCCAGGAGGCCGAGGGCTTGAACCGACTGACGCCTCCGAAACAAACCCCGGAGATCGTCAAGTACATTCGCGAGCTGACGGGCCTGTTCAGCATGCTGCTGTGGGTCGGAGGTGCCTTGTGCATCCTCATCTACGGTTTGCAGGGCGACCCCAACAACTTGTACCTCGGCATCGTGCTGTTCTTGGTCGTGGTCATCACGGGCACGTTCTCGTACTTCCAGAACGCCAAGTCGTCCAACCTCATGGAGTCGTTCAAGCAAATGATGCCGACAGTCACGACTGTGATCCGGGAGGGAAAGTCGCAGAAGATCGAGGCTTCACAACTCGTTCGAGGTGACATTATCCTCCTGAAAGGTGGCGACAAGGTGCCTGCGGATATCCGCGTGCTCGAGTGCTCCGATGATCTGACGGTGGACAACTCGTGTCTTACTGGAGAGCCGGAACCGCTGAAGCGAATCCCTGACTGCACGGACGAAAACCCGCTCGAGACCAAGAACTTGTGCTTCTTCGGCACCTTCATCCCGCAAGGCTCAGGCAAAGGCGTCGTGGTTCGTGTTGGAGACAAAACCGTCATGGGGCGCATCGCCAAGCTAGCAACGACAACTGGCCAGAACATGACCCCCATCGCGCGCGAGATCAACCACTTCGTTCACATCATTGCGATTGTCGCCGTGGTGATCGGAGTTATCTTCTTCATCATCGGCGTCTTCCTCAAGACGGACATTGTCACGAACGTCGTGTTCATGATCGGAATCATCGTTGCCAACGTCCCGGAAGGGCTTCTGGCGACGGTGACCGTGTGCTTAAGTCTGGCTGCGAACCGCATGGCGCACAAGTCAGTGCTGGTCAAGAATCTTGAGGGTGTTGAAACGCTGGGCTCCACGAGCTGCATCTGCTCCGACAAGACGGGAACGCTCACGCAGAACGTCATGACGGTTGCACATGTGGTGTATGACAACAAGATCTTCGATGCCGAGTGCTCCATCACGCCTGTGGGGAACTACGACCTGAACTCTCCGTCGTTCAAGGCGCTGCAGCGGTGCGCAACTTTGTGCAACAACGCCGTGTTCGACGAAGACTCCAAGTACGAGAAGGCGGTTGGACCTGACGGGTTGTCTACGCGCGGAAAGCGCAAGCCGTTCAAGGAGATCGTGTCGATGGGAAACGGAGCAACCATGGAGAAGGTGGCGTGGGAAACAATCGGAGATGCGTCCGAGTCGGCCATGATCAAGTTCTGCCACGACAAGAAGGACATCATCGAGTTCCGCGAGGAAAACGCAAAGATTAAGGAGATTCCGTTCAATTCGAAGAACAAGTATCAGCTCTCTCTACACAAGCAGGACAACGACGACAGCAATCCCATTCTAATGGTTATGAAGGGAGCCCCTGAGCGAATTACAGCTCGCTGCGGAACGGTTCTCATCGGAGGCGAAGAGGTCGAGATGACGCCGGAACGTCTTGCCGAAGTGGAGGCAGCCCAGCTAGTGCTGTCCAAGAAGGGCATGCGTGTTCTTGGTTTCGCGCAGAAGATACTTAACCCCGGCGTATACCCGGCCCACTACGAGTTCAGCACCGACAACCCCAACTTCCCGCTTGGCGAGAAGGACGTCGACTATGAGGCGACACCGCAGCCCGATCCTAAGGTGGAGGAACCCTTGTGCTTCATCGGATTGATGGCACTGATCGACCCACCCCGCCCCGAAGTCCCAATTGCCGTGGCGAAGTGCAAGACTGCTGGGATTCGTGTGATCATGGTCACCGGTGACCACCCGATCACGGCAAAGGCCATTGCGCACAAGGTCGGAATTCTGTGGGGACCTACCTGCGAGGACATTGAAGAGGAAAACAAGGAGCGCGGGCTCCAGCCAGGCGACAGCGGGTGGATCGATCCGAACACTGCTCCAGCCATTGTCGTCCCCGGATGGACAATCAGTTTGGATACCCCGGTGGAGGAATGGGACCGCATCTTGGACCACCGACAGATTGTGTTCGCCCGAACGTCGCCGCAGCAGAAGCTGATCATCGTCGAGAACTGCCAGCGCCGGAAGGAGATTGTTGCCGTGACCGGTGACGGTGTGAATGACTCACCTGCACTGAAGAAGGCTGACATCGGTATCGCTATGGGAATCATGGGTTCTGCTGTATCGAAGGAAGCTGCCGATATGATCTTGCTCGACGATAACTTCGCCTCGATCGTGTGCGGTGTTGAGGAAGGACGCATTATCTTTGACAACTTGAAGAAGTCGATCGCCTACGCTTTGGCTGCCAATATCCCGGAGCTGGTACCCTTCTTGCTGTACGCCACTGTCCGTCTGCCACTGCCTCTAACCACCGTGCTCATGCTGCTGATCTGTCTTGGCACGGATATGATCCCTTCAATCGCCATGGCTTACGAGGGCGCGGAGAACGACATCATGTTACGAGCCCCTCGAAATGCTGAAACAGAGCACCTCGTCACCAAAAAGTTGGTCTTCTTCGCGTACGCCATGGTTGGCATTATCGAGGCTGGCGCTGGCATGTTCACGTTCTTGGCCGTGATGAACGACTACGGCTACCCACCGAGGGTCTTGCCCAACCTCGGATACTACGATCGCTTCGGGAAGCAGGTGATCTGGTGCCAGACTGAAGGCGGCCGCTATTGCACTGCCGGAGGCAAGTACAAAAAGGATGGCAAGCTCATTCCTCTGGGACAGATCTATGGCCCGGCGAATGATGGAGCTCCGGATTGCCAGGACGACTACAACGACACCATTCCTGCGGGAGGTGATTTCTTCGATACATACATTTTCTACGAGCCCGCCGGAGGAGGCAAGGTGATCGACTGCCAGTTCCCGCTCCAGAACCTTGACACCGACGGCTCGAAGCCTGATGGCTATAAACGCTCCAAGCCGTCGACTTACGCAGACTACACGCCGACCCCGTTCGTCACTATCCAGTCCATGGAGGCGGCATACTCCCTCGGCTATCGCCCGTACTATCCGATGGCAGCTCGACGCTCTTCCTTCTTCGACATGGAGTGGTTTGCCTATGACACTACCAAGACTGACGTCCCGGGGCTGGTGTCGAGTATTTCTGTGGAAATCTTTAGCTCCTTCCAGCCGTTGACTGTGTGGGCAATCACCGACGAAAGCCAGACTGGAGGAGCCGTGTCCGCTCTGAGTGGAGCTCAAGATGCCTTTGGTGAAACAGAAGTGACTGCCGTGGACTCGACTGGCCAGCAGACCAAGTCCACGTTCCTGCTGTCGCCCTCACACTCGTACAAGGTAGGCAAGAGCTTCGAGAAGATCAAGTTTGGTAATGGCTCCGACCCGTGCACAGGAGCGGACTGCCTGCTCAACTACCGCGCTGGGTTCTCTTACCGCGACGGCGACAAGGCGTATGTGAACATCATGTCGCGCATGATGCAGTACAGCGCGCTGTCGATCGCCCAGACGGCGTTCTTCGTCGCTATCGTGGAGATGCAGTGGGCCAACGTCATGATCTGCAAGACGCGCTACCTGTCCATCGTCTCCCAGGGAATGTACAACAGCGTGCTTAACTTCGGCCTCATGTTCGAGTTCATGCTGAGTGCCGTGATCGCGTACGCTGGCTTCACGCACGTGGTCTTGGGCACAATGAGCGTGCGCCTGGTGCATTGGTTCCCGGCACTGCCGTTTTCCATTTTCCTCTTTCTGCTGGACGAGGGCCGCAAGTTCCTCATGCGCTCCACTTCTCGCAGCGTCATCCGCAAGGACACGGGCCAGATGGTCCGCTACCCTGGTTGGCTCGAGGTCAACACGTACTATTAGACCATCGGTCACCCTCGAGACGATAGTAGTGCTCGACCATCCACGGCTAGTAGTGGCAGGGCTCACAGTGCAGTCTAATCTGCTCGATCTTCATTCATAATTCACACCACATTTTTTTCAATTCGTCTGTGAAAGCTCGTGCTAGAAATGTAATGAGCTAGTCTACCCGCAATTAGGCGTTTTTATCGTGCTCGTGAGCGGGCTCTGGGAGGATTTGCGCGGTCAAATGGGAAATCGTCAAAACGTGTATGAATTTGAAACGTTTTGTCAAAAGTGGTTAACTCGTGTCATTAGGTGTATGCTAGTTTCAAGTGGTTAACTCGTGTCATTAGGTGTATGCTAGTTTCGGTATGACAGTATGTGTATGTGGTTCCAAGCGCACTAAGGTGCATGATAAAGCTGCATCAGCAACGAATGCGGTGACTGGTGTGTGGGCTTAGATCCAAATCCATAAAACCCGGGGTTAGGAAGGCTTCTACCTGATGCAACTAGCCCGGTTCGTGGTGTCCATGACTTTGATAGCGAATTGTACGACTGAGGGACTACAATGAACGTCGTTATCCATTGTAGCCAGGCCTCAGCGTTGCCACAGTTCTACAATACCTACACTCTCCCCCGGTTGGGGGCTATCACTAGAGCTCCTTCACCTCCGAAATTCAGATGCAAAACCTACCTAGTATAGTCATGCTATATACGCTTGCGGTTTGCGTTGGTAGTGCCACGAGCTTCATTTGTACGATCGACCCATGGCAAGTGCACACCGGGTATCAATCCCGTTCCTTGTAGCTACAATCGTGTATGATGAGACATGACGCGACGTGACGCCCACGACCACTACACCTATTGACAAACGTTTTCCCAACGCATACACCTTTTGACGTTTGCTAGTGCACCTTGTTGGTGCTGCTGTTGCTTCAGAGCTATCAAGTGTTGTTAACGATTGTTGGGATTTGTGATAGTGACCGAGCCGCCCACGAGTACGTTCGAGGCCTCCTGGTCTTGTTGCGCTTCCGCGTAGTCGCCCTTTCTTGGAAATCCAAACTTGGGGTCACTCACTGCGCTCAGGGGGTGCATCACTTTGCTGGCACTATTGAGAATCTCCCACGCCTCGCTTGGGACGGCGCCTGGTTTGAGAAGCTGGTAGTCGTCGTAGAATCCCTTGAGCCAGCCGTCACGTGTCTTGGCCACAAAGATCATCAATTATTCGGCTGGGAGATCAAAAGGAAACGGCAGACGCTGCTTGACTCGCTCCTTGACAGTCTTGTAGGACTCGATCTTGATCAGGAAGACCACACCTGTGAACGCGATCGCACAGGAAATTGCTGTTTTGCTCGATGTGCAGGACATGTTGACTTATCGAGCGCAACTTGCTCAATGACATTTTGATTTTTCCTATTCGCAATCCAACAATCAATAATCTATCTATCAATCAACCAAACCAACCTACAGAGTTGCCAGTGAGAGACACCATGGTGGCGAAGTTGATGTCGGTTGCAGTTATTAGGAACGTGTAGGTATTAGCTCAATCTGCTATCCGTGTACGTGTATTATGTACACATGTACAACCAGGAAGGCATAGATCTTCACAAGCTTCTCGATCTGCATCTATTTAGCGTCGTTCTCCTAAATCGCAATAAGTATCCGATGTCGGCAGGTGCCACCACATTTTTTCCCATTTCGCCTGCGAAAGCTCTTGCTACAATAATGAAATGGCTGCCAAAAGTGCTAGCCTACCGACAATTAGGCGTTGTTATCGTGCTCGTGAGGAGGACTTGCGCGGTCAAGTAGTGCCACGCGGAAGCGACGAAAGACCAGGCGGCCTCGAGCATACTCGTAGATGACTGGATCACTAGATATAACAAAACCCAGCAATCGTTAACAACTAGGTAACCCGTAGCAACAGCAACAACATGAAACATTGTTAACATACTTTTCACAAGACCGCGGTACTGAGGAAGAAGCACAAGCGCGTGGGCGCTGTATCCTCGGAGTCGTCATTGCTTGGGAATCCGAACTCAGGGTCACTCACCGCGCTCAGAAGATGCATCGCTTTGTCAACACGTCTGTGAATCTCCCACGCCTCGCTCGGGACGGCGCCTGGTTTAAGTAGCTGGTAGTTGTCGTAAAAATCCTTCAGCCAGCCGTCACGTGTCTTGGCCACAAAGATCGTCAATTCTTCGGCTGGGAGATCAAAACGAAATGGCAGACGCTGCTTGACTCGCTACTTGAGGGCGCTGACAGTCTTGTAGGACTCGATCTTGATCAGGAAGACCACGCCTGTGAACGCGATTGCACAACTAATCACCATCATTGACTGTGACCGGAACTTCACAACGCAAACTTCATAACGATGACAAGTACATCTATAATTCATACTCCAATACGAATTGGTGTAAATTGCTAATGGTCATCTAGCACCAAGTACAATGCACACATGAATGATTTTAGAACCAGGTCTCCTCCTATTCAGTATTCCGCCAGCCATATAATTCGTGCGCCCATTGTTCTTAACCTTGCCAGACAGGTGGCCGTGGTGGTTGCGGGGATCACATTGCTGCTGCCTCTTCCGGCGAGTATACTGCACCTGTGCGTCCAAGGGCACGCGTATATTGCCCGCTGTCGTACCTACAAAGCAAAGAGTCTTCACATTATTTTATATAAGCATGCCGACTCACATCCAAAATCTACACTTTTGAGGCAAGTTACCGGGGAGATGCTGCGACTGCGAAGCAGGCGCAGGAGATGTCCATGGTTAGTTAAAAAAATAGATTTTATACTAAAAAAACGATCCCAGTCTTCGCGGAGCCCTACCACAAGGGTTACGAATCGCTGGTAATGTAGTCTGGTCGAAAAGTTTTGAAATTGAAGGTTTCCTAAAAGAAGATTGAGGTCTCGTAGAACTTTGGCCTCATTGTGTCGTTCTGGTATACTTATTTTTCAATGCACTCTCTGAGATTACGTAAGTTTCGTACAAACCTTGAAAGTTTAACATACGCAGGAGGCAAGCCGGTCAAAAAGCTTTTTCGATAGATTGTGCGATCCCACTAGGCACGCACCTTGCTTCGTACCGCGATAAGAATCGCAACAACATATACAGTACGAGTACGCAGTAATGCACCGGCATGGCCCTGAAAGTGCCTATTAGCGAGATCAGGGTAGATGCCCTCACAACCTGCGACGTTTTCAGCCAAAACTAAGGTTAGAATTCAGCGTCGTACTCAACCTGATAGTGGCGAATTATGCCGGAAACACCCGAACATGTTAGTTTAGCGACCTTGGCTGTACTGAGCAATCGTTGTAGCTCGTGTGCAAGACGGAGGTAAGACAGGCGGATGGTCACGTAGGTGGGTAAGCAGTTAGAATCGAAATGGCTGAAGTCATGCACGAACGAAACACGATCTGAAGTAGACGGACAGTGAGTGACTCAATTACTGGCTCAAGTTACCGGGTCACCAATAGAAAGACAGCCAGTGACAAGGGACCACGATACCGGCCTCAGTTTACCGGATTCAGCTACCGAGGTTCGAATTACCCCGATTTGGGCTGCCTAGCAGCATGACCTATCGGCCACTGCTATCCCAGTTAAACTTCTTGAAACATGTAGCTGTTATAGGCGATTTGATTTGCCAAAATTGCGATTCGTTTAAAAAGAGTCTTTCAACAGCTGGAATTGTATTAATAATTTTACTTCTCTCTGAGGTACAATACCTATATATACATACCAGAGCTCGCAAACAGCATGCACCGGCTAACCCGGAGCGTCCGGCAGATGGCCCCGGGTACCCGAATCCGCCCATGTGGATCTCATCTGAAGTTCGGGTACCCGGACCCGTCCTAGATCCGAATCTGTAGATCCGAATCTGTAGATCCGAATCCGTACGTTGGTGGATCCGCCCGAAGTTGCGGGTACACGCCCATCGTGAATGTGATCATTTAGAAACAAAATGTATTCATGTTAAGTCTCTGCTTTAAGCTATGTCTTACTCTAAGAGATCTGCATTCGAACGGCATACTAAGATGTCGTCAAGCATGGAAGGACTCAGAGAACTCCGCTTCTAGTTCAGCGTCATCCCTGCGCTCGAAAAATTACTCGCCGCCATAGCACTCGAGGCCGGAATGCACAGGATTGTACGCTTTCTCTGCAACGCTCTACACGGTCTTCGACCTTCGAAGAAAACGCCTAACTGCTGGAGGGCTGAATAGTCTCGATGGAGGACCTACTTTAGAACTCGGACCCGAACCGGGTACCCGAACCCACCCGAAGCTGCTTCACGTCTAATTCGGGTACCCGTACCCGTCCGAAAACCAAACGGACGGACGGGTACCCGGTTTTCGGGTACCTCTGATACAAACTCTGCTCGTATTAAGTCTTATTATACCTATCTATAAACTATGTAGTTGTAAAATCGAGTAAAACAAGAAAAATTGGCCGGAAGCGAACCAGCATGAACTTACATACGATTGCCTCTTAAATGTCGGTGGTCTCTCCTATATGTTCTGCCCAGCGGTCAAGCACGCTAAACAACTTCGAGCTATATGGTTCGCGGTGCAATACAATACACGTTTACGAATACAATATCACTTGGAACTCTCCCAAGTCTCTAGCAAGCTAGTAGAGTCTCTCGGTTCCGACGACGAGGATCGGACCAAGGGTCAGACTCTGCCGACGAGGGGCGAGTCGGCCGCCGGCAGCGTTCTCCACGCCCCGGGGGGGGGGACATTATGATGGTGCTGCGGAATTCACGTCTTACCGACAACGGCAAAGACGACATGATGGGCGCAAACGACGTCATAAACTGCCTCAAGCCTTGCCACGGAGACCATATCGCCAATATCCGGTAGCTAATGCTCTACCGTGACTTTAATTGCAAGTTCGTCAGGATCGCAGGGCCACGGGCGCTCGTTCGGTCCGCAACTGAAGCGGATATCACGCTGGGCGAGCATTTCAAGCAGCCGGGGTGGTATATAGTCCTCCTTAAGTTGCGTCAAGTGGCCACGTTACCGTTGGACATCGAGGTGGTGTCTAAGCGCAGGAAGCTTGCGCACCCCGACGGCTGGAGCGGGCCTTTCGCTAGACCGCCGGATGCTCCGAATGTGACCATTAAAGAGTTGCTGAGGCTGGTGAAGAATCAGCACCTGCCAGTGGTCCACCAAGCCGGGGTGACTACTCTTGTGTATTAGTCGTGTGTTTGCCTGCTCAAGCTCTAACGAGTTTGTTTTATTTGATTGGATTCTTTAACTCGGTAGGCACGCTTCAGAAAGAGATAGGTATGGGGCCCGTTGTTGATAATAACGGTCGCAACTACTAGACCACCTCTTTGTGAGTAAGTTTGGATGCGCGGGTTTCGGCAGGCCGTCCGGCAGTGTGACCAAGAGTACAGGGCGTATGGCAGGTTCAAACACCGGTGTTTGCCAATTCTTGCGGACAGCCAACACGTGGCGGCCGAAGCCAAAGATGTTCTCAAGATAAGGGCTTTGCGTTCCCATATCTGGACCCGCGAGACCACTGGAAGCTAGAAATAATTACTTACGATCCTGCGCTGTCGGAGCCGAGAGCCACTACCGGAATGCGGGAGACGCGTCATCGCGCTATCATCACACTTCTTGTCGCATTAGGGAGAGTTCCAAGTGATATTGTATTCGTGAACGTGTATTGTATTGCACCGCGAACCATATAGCTCGAAGTTGTTTAGCGTGCTTGATCGCTGGGCAGAACATATAGGAGAGACCACCGACATTTAAGAGGCAATCGTATGGAAGTTTATGCTGGTTCGCTTCGTCTGATGTAGTAAATGTTTCTGCCAAAACTAATGAGAAAACCTCATATCTAAAACAACCGACCGCAATTATACAGAAGGTGGCGCCTTAGAGGGACGACATATAACTGATCACCTCTAATAACTACTATCAATTCATAGGAATGCATTCTAATTCTCTATACCCCAACCCCCCAATACTAAAATCCCCGTCTATGATGAATATATCAGGTGTCTCTCTAAGGCGCCACCCTGTGTAAACCAAACACATGAGAGTTGAACGGTAGGGATTGGGTTGCAGGGTGCCTGCTGTTTGCCCATACCCAAACACCTCCGACTCGTACACAAAACATGCGGATAGGGGGGGGGGTCACATTTAACTATCACCCAGCTACGCGCTACGCGCGAACCTAAAACCCCTAAAGGCTCGCTGCGCTCGCTGGGCCAGAACCCTAAGGCCGCTGCGGCTCGCACGCGTCGCCTCCGCTTGCTAGGTAGAGCACTGCTGGGTCCTGGGTTTGCAGCCGCGTGCTACGCACACGGACTGTCAAACCACAGGCGGGGGCTCGCTACGCTCGCTCCGTGCCATCCATCCCAAGGCTCCGACCAATGAGCAAACGGGACGACTAATCTATCTTGGACTGTTTATGCATAACACTTTGGGGAGGGGTAGGGTAATACCGCATTTCGCATGTAGAGGGCTGCAGCAGCTTAAGGGATACACTTGGAATTGAACCAATCACATGCACTCTAGTGTAGTACTCGAAATCGCATGTAGACGGACACACCCCAAAATACCGGTATACCGATAATTGCGACCCAAAATTTCGTTGCTGCCACCCGTTTTGATATGGCGCGCGCGCGCCAAACGGAAGGCTAGCCGCAGTTTTGAAATGGCGCGCGCGCCCAAAAGGAAGATCAAGCCGCGGAGGCGTCGGCAGACATGTACAGCAGTACAAGGTCAACTCGGAGCCCGTGATCAAGAAGCTCGCCGTCATAAACTACCTAGCTGTCGTGCGCAAAATACGCGCTACCATCGAGCATTTCTACCCCAACCTCGCCGCTACTGCCTACAACTCTAAACGCACGACAATTCTACGCTGGGCGCGCAATCGCAACAAGCTGGAAGCCGCGGCCGCCGCAGGAAAAGGAGAGCACAAGAAGGTACGCAACAGAGGGGTGGCTACAATCCTGTCCGCGGAGAATGAGGCAGAGATTACCCAGTGGGTCGATGAGCTGCGTGGAGACGGTATCCCTGTCTCCACGCAAATGCTAACAGACAAGGCGCTGGACGTCGCGGAGGAGGCAGAGGTCAAGGACTTCAAGGCGTCCGACAAGTGGGTCGCTGGGTTCAAGCGCCGTCACCTGTTTAGCCTACGTTGCCCCACGCGTCAAAGCCAGCTTAGCTCCGCCAACCTCGACGAGATCGCAGCCGACTTGCTGCAGAGGTCGACGCAACCGTGCGAAACCTCGGCATTAAGCGTGTGTATAACGCTGATCAAACGGGTATCGTAACTGTTGTGTGTGGGCTAATACTATTATTAATGTGACGTGAGCTAACCGACTCTGTGGCAGCTGTATTTTTTTAATATGTAGCCAAGAAGACGGTGACGCGCCTAGGCCAGAAGACAGTGTGGGTCAAGTGCAGCGGGGCTTCAAAAGAGCGGGCTTCCGTAATGCTTCTCGGCGACAGCGATGGCAATCGCTACACGCCCTTTGTTGTGTTTAAGGTGAAACCCTCCAAGGACAATGCAATCCAAGAGGAGAACAATGCTCGTCGCTATGGATTCGGCATTCGCAACTGGAAAAACGTGCGCATGATTCGAGAAACTACAGGGCTTGAGGTTTACGGCAACGCCAAAGGTACATGCTGAAACTTTATTATCATTGGGTTGTATCCATTGTTACTCATCACTTACTAAATGATTAATTATGTGACAGGCTGGTGGAATGCAGAGCTGTCCATCGCGTTTCTAAAGCACCATATTTCGCTGCACGAGTCCCCCGAGAGCCCATCCTCCTCTTGTGGGACGATTTCGGTGGACACTGGAAGGCAAGCGTTCTTTTGTATGCAGCATCGATCAACGTAGTGCTGTTGAAGGTCCCACCCCATGCCACGCCGGTCTCGCAGCCGGCGGAGTGGCATGGAACTTCCCGCTGAAGGTGCAGCTACGCCAGCGCTCATGCAGGCTCAAATCAAGGCACTGAGAGGCTCTGGGAAGAAGTTCAAGCTGAAGCGGCCGAACCGTACCAAGATCTGCGAATGGGTACGTCAAGCCTGGGACGAGCTGCCAGCTGAAACAATCGCGAACGGCTTTCGAAAGAGCAGCCTGCTTCCAAGCGATGCATGCGTCGCTGCTGCCGATTTAGTCGCCGACTTAGAAAAGCTGTCACTGCTGGAAGGCCGCCCTGTGCACGAAGGTCAGGACTTTGGGGCAAACATTATCCTGGAGGAAGCTGTTGTCTAACCCAAAATATAAACCCATTTTATTGGTTTTGGGCAATACATCGTTTTTGGGCTAATCTACTGTTTGTTACCTAAACCTATAACATATAGTGTATCGGACTACATGCGAAATGCAGAACTGTTATGCTCCGACCGCGCTTGACTGGGGATTCGTATACCTATCATCTTAAGTGCGGTCGGAGATTTGATGATATTCTACCATACCATACGTGTAACAAATGACTACAGTCACTTGTAACTCTAACAGACACGACGTCTGTTAGAGGCTCAAAAGACTTTCTCGACCTTGGTGTAGACACACCAAAGGCTACATACATTTACGACCACCACGACGGGTGGTCCATAGAGACTTAGGATTCCTATTGGCTGAGAGCAGCATCTCTTAGCCAATGAGCGACATGCATAGCATTGGAATTCTGCCAACAAGCCGTTGGCAGATTCCTATCTTAGAATATTACATTTAGAGGAAGTCAGAAACATAAAACAAAAATAGCAGTTCTCATTTTAACCCAAAAACATTATTTGGATCGTTTATTCAGATTAATCTATACTCGGAGGCCCGAGTTTAATTAACTCTAATTTAAATTTGGCTACGCTTCCTCACATACACGCGCACACGTGTAAGCTAAAGTAGTGGGCCAAAGTAGGTCCATTACACCTGGTAGCACTTTGTAGCCGTCCAACGACCGACTACCTGAGTTCGTACGTCACCGCACGAACGCGGAGCTGAGAACCTTCCCATGGATACAGAGGTGCCCATGGAAAGCTCCACTACGCCTGCAACTCACGTTGCACGCGCTGACTGTCCCCACCTGTCGGATCCAGAGTGGGAGGCCCTCCAAGGACTGTCAACAGTCAATGGTGAGGCGGCTGTAGCTACGATGCTGCGTACGCAAACGCCGACAGAGCAACACGGTGTTGCTCTGGGTTTCATCCTGAAGGAGCAACGCGATGTTGCTGGTACTACCGCGGTGTCGTCCGGGACGACACCACGCGCGCAATCGCTGAAGCTCAATGTGAGCAACTATGTCGGAAGAGAGGGTGAACCTCTCCTCCGTTGGCTTGTCGAACCTGACACTGCCATTGCGGCTCGACGTATCGTCGACCCGTTGTCGAAGGTTGCGTTCGCCATGTCATGTCTTGGCGGACGTGCTAGAAGTTGGGCGTATGGACGCCGACTCTCGGATCCTACGTGCTTTAGCACGTACGAGGGTTTCAGGGAAGAGCTCAGACAAGCGTTTGAGCCACCGCAAAACGAGTTCCGGTCGAGGGTGGAGTTCCTCGACCTGCAGCAGGGCAAGCATGATGTCCATGCTTACGCTCAGAGAGCACGGTACTTGGCCTCGAACATCGTGACCAATCCGATCGACGAGGCGACCAAGGTCGTCACGTTCATGAAGGGGCTGAGAGATGGGCCTGTGAAGACCTATCTCTTCCGTGAGTACCCGAGTACTCTCGAAGCTGCAATTACTCTTGCAATGCAGGAGGAGTTTAGCCTGCGGCAGGCTAAGCTGCATGCACATGTGCCGAGGCCACAGCCACGCCCGGTAGTGAGGACGGGAGGCCCAGAACCCATGGACCTCTCGAGTGCTGCAACTGCTGGACCCCAGCAGTCGCAGGGAAACAATGTGCGATGCTACCGTTGCGGTAGAGTCGGTCACTTTGCTCAGGAGTGCACGGCCCCCGTGCACCAGCAGGGTGGCTATCGCGGCGGTGCCGGGCACCGTCGCAACCAAACAAAAAACGCAGGACGCCAGTAGGCGCGGGGCGCCCTACTGGTAATGCAGTTCCGCGTGTCGACCTTGGACACGCGACACTGAGGACTGCAGCCCCCAGTGAGGTTCACACTCACTGCAAGAACCAAGATGACAAACCTGACCTTGTAATCCTGAATGTGAACTCGATGAGAGCAAGCGGCTCTCTCCGTGCTTTGGTATTCTGGCGCGTCGAAGAACTTTGTTCGACTTCGAAGTCTATCAAGGCTTGACTCCGAGGATTTAAAGATACCTCGAAGTATGTTGGAAGTACGACTGGCAACGGGTGCCGTCGTGAAGACCGAGAAGCGCATGGTACGCGTGCACTTCACGTATGAAGATCAAGAGTTTGTCGAGACCTTTATCGCCCTGGATCTGGACGATAAGTTTGACATTGTATTGGGCATGCCGTGGCTTGCACGGCATGATCCGGTCATCGATTGGGAGAAGCGCACTCTCGTGCGCTTCGGTCGCGACAGCGGAACAGTGAGCGATGGCACTGTTGCCGCTACGCGCGCACCGACAGGTGCGCGCGACTCCCCACTCGAGACAGAGGCTAATGCCGCTGTCCCTGAGCGCCCTGGGCGCGCGCGAGCACGCGCGCAAGAGCAGCTAGCGTCGGCGTTGCCGCCGACAGCTAATGAAGGAAATGTGTTGACCTCGGAGGTCGACACCCGCTTTTCAGCGAATCAGGAAGAGTCTCCGACCTCAAGGGGCACGGATGACGCAGGCGAGTCACACGCCTCAGCCGTGGAGGCTGACGCGAATCTGATTGGATCCGTTTTGGCCAATAATAAGAGCCAAGGCGACGAAACGCCGTCGACTCCGGGAGTCGATGGATTGGGTGAATTTGATTCGTCGGCTCGGGGAGCCGACGCACCCTACGTAATGGGGGTCTCCGCCAATGATTGGCGTCGAGGTACTAAAGTCGCGACGGTTCCGGGAACCGGCGCTGCGAAAAGAAGTTTCGCGTCGGCTCCGGGAGTCCACGCACCCTTTGTAACGAAGGGCTCCGCCAATAAAAGGCGTCGAGGTGAAGATGGCGTGTCGGCTCCGGGAGCCGACGCTGCAGGCGGTGCGGACGGTTGCAAACATTCCGCACCGGAAAAACTTGCATGCTGTCGTGCAGCCGGGCTGCACGACGAAGCGCCGTGCGACCAAGCCGGGCTTGAAGTCGCTCGCCCGCGGGATGTACCCGCCGGCGGTATACAAGAAGAACACCCGTCCACGGCTGGGCCTGGACGAGGTGAAGAACCAAGCGCAGCCGGGCTCCGCAGAACAAGAAGACGGCGCATGCGAAGGTCTCTCGGCCTGGGGCCGAGACGCTACAAGAAATGTCTGCCGGGCAGACGGAGGCTGAGAAGCCGTACGTCGAGACGTTGAACGTCTTGACGCGTACCTGTGCCGGGTTCCGGTACAGGGAGATGACTCTCGCTAACCCTCTGACGCAAGCGTCGGAGTTGACTTCGCTTCCAGTCATGAGCTGGAAGCGCTTCGCGCGTGACTTGCATGATGGACGCATCGAGCAAATATGCATTCTCTCGGACGCCGAGAGAACGAAGAGCGAGAATGAAGAACTGAGGCAGTTCTTCATGGAGACCACCACTGAGAGCGAGGACACTCTCAGTGCGAAGACGAAGAAGGAGCGCTTTGAAGAGCAGAGCTGGGACTCGTTGAAGACGAGTCCCTACTACGAGATCTTACGGGAGTACGCGGACGTACTCCCGGAAGAGATCCCTGCGGAGCTTCCGCAGGACAAGGGCATCCAGCACGAGATTGATCTCGTGCCGGGGACGAAGTACTGTGTCACGCGGCAGTGGCCACTGCCGCGAGAGCAGGTCAAGGCGATCGACGACTTCTTTGAGAGTCGTCGCAAAGCTGAACAAGTGCGGGAATCGAAATCCCCGCACAGTGCTCCGACGTTCTGTGTCAAGAAGCCACAGGGCGGTTGGCGCATCGTTCATGCGTACAACAAGCTGAACGATGCGACGATACCGGCGCAGACACCGATACCGCGAAAAGATGTCATCATCGATTCGATGGCCAGGAGCACTATCTACAGTGCTCTTGATCTGCGCGATGGATTCTATCAGATCCTCATGCGTGGGAGTGATATCCCAGCACGCCGAGCGGCATGCTCTGGGAGTGGCTAGTAATGCCGCAGGGTCTGAAGAACGCCCCTGCGACCTTCAACAGGTGCGTGACGCACTTGTTGCGCTCGGTGCGCGACTTCGCACCGAGCTACTTCGACGATGTGTTCGTCCACAACCGGGCTGCGGACGGGATGAGCGATGTTGAGATGCACAAGGTGCATCTCCGGAAGCTGCTTGCGCTCATGCGCAAGCACAAGCTCTATGCGAACCTGAAGAAGTGCATCTTCGGGGCGAGCGAGATACCCGTGCTCGGGTATCTCGTCGGGAAGAACGGTATCCGCCCTGACCCTGAGAAGGTCAGAGTGATCAATGAGTGGCCGACGCCGTCGAACGTCAAGGAACTGCGGCAGTTCCTTGGCTTGCCCACGTACTTGTGCGAGTACGTGAAGGACTACGCGGACATGATACGCCCGCTGTCACAGCTCCCGAAGAAGGACGCCGAGTGGGTTTGGACTGTTGAGTGTCAGCAGGCCTTCGATGCAGTCAAGTGGGGCTTGACTGAGGCGCCGATCTTGGCGGTGGTCGACCAAGATCGCCCATTCCACGTTGTGTGTGACGCATCCGACTTCGCAATCGGATGTGCGTTGATGCAGCACGATCACGAGGGTCGTGATCGTGTCGTCTACTACCAATCGCGTCAGCTGAAGCCAGCTGAGCGCAACTACCCGGTACATGACAAGGAACTCCTTGCCATGAAGTACGCACTCGCGAAGTTCCGAGTGTATCTACTCGGAAGCAAACCGTTCGTGGTCTATACAGATCACGCGTCACTGCGGACGGCTGTGAAGTCGCCGCACATCTCGCAACGGATGGCGAGATGGCTCTCATTCTTCG